CAAGGTAACTCCACTATATCGAGACATAGTTCCGCTCCTACCAGTGGTCAGACTACACCTAATAAGGAGAAATGGTATGGCGAGCACAGGAATAAGGTAGCCACAACCACTTCACCAAAAACTAAAGCTCAACTTCCAAGGAAATCGGGTTGCACCATGATATCTACTGACTGCATTATTGCATCAAAGTCATATCGGTGGCTGATGAGGCATTCGCATGCATCTCATGTCACCGGTAGATACATGTCAACCGTGACAGCAAATTATAAGTTCATGGAGAGACGACCACACAAATGGCTCCGGCACATCTGGCCAGAAAGCAGGAAGCCACCCACGCCTCACACGAAAAGTCTTAAGTAGCCATCCTCCACCACGCAAAGACCATAGACCTCCTCGAGAAATGTAGGGTGAAAACCAAATGATGGCACAAAGTTATCCGAAAACAAAGCTGAGCTCGAAGCCACAGATGTACCACCACCCACGAAGATCACCTTAGGCCCAACCTACGTAGTCCCTGCCCAGTTACGGAGATTGTCAAGCACGCGGAAGGAGCCGCCGTCCACCAAGCCCTTACAAAGCCAAGCCTGAACGTTCCAAACACTACGATCAAGAAACGACGAGAATATCTAAATAACAAATCAGCCGGAGAGTTGGGTGTGTTATCCGTGACTAACCCAAGTAGCGGAACTGCCAACTCAGTCATCTCTTTAAACAGTGATGAATCGAAAGAATCGTTGTTAGTCAGGAGACAGCAGTTTAGGAGTCAAACATGAGCTGACGGCTATCGAAATCTGCAATTCCACGCCTCACCCGCATTATTATATCTCCTCTCCCAAGGTGGTCGGACACCTTAGACACAAACCACTACCTTTATGGGTATCTTTGATCACCACGAAAAAGCCGAAGATACCCCTCCTCCCTCATACTACTGGACGTAGTCAATACCCAAAAAATCCAAGCTTGGCCTGGAAAACTATGGTCATTGAAACGGGAGGAGAGAAATTCCGCATTTGGGAATCTGAAGAGGAACACCACGATGGTTGTACAGGGGATCTCAAAACTGCCAAGGGACTGCCTGGCCAAAGATCGGCGCCTCCTCAACTCTCAATAATGGCGGTGGCTTTCACCCAAAGTTAGTCTTGACAGCCTGTTGGCCGACAGCGTTCCATACACATGGTACAACATGAACGACCACGTGGGCGGCCCAATAAATACGCATGAGGGTAGACCAGGACCCACTAGGGACAGCAACCACTAAGACCTCCGGAATAAGTGTTTATCACGCAAGAGCAGGTCAGTGAGTGAAGTAAATCGACTTCTGAAGCCTCTGCCACTTAGGCCACCACGAAAACTTGAAGTGAGGAGCCTGGGAAAGGAGTGATGCCACTTCCGTGAGGACCGGCGATCCTAGATTCAATCATGCAAGTAACCCCTCCTGATAGAATCATACACTTGGTTCTCTCCTCCAATAAGACACCCCATCAGACGTACATGTGTGTACGGCAACTTTAGGGGACTGACAGGGGAAGTAGGAGAAATGAAGACCTTCCATGAGCACCTGCACCCAAGCATCATACTTGCAACGAAATTCTAGCTGTTGCGGAATATTTCTGACGGAGATCTGAGTGTTACCGACATGGAATTCTCATGCATGGACAGAAACCTTAGGATGACTGGTGGAGTGGCTCCCTGCGTAAGCCATCGCTTAAGAGTATGAGTGGCCGGTGACGCAGCTGCCATCCAGCTCCTAGGACCTTACTGACTCTACTTCACTTCTTATCTCATCAAACACCCACTCAGGACCACATATCGGTCCCTCACCACCTCCCCTGCCTGTAAAGAAACGTCATCGAGGCAATTTTTGCGAGTTCCACTTCAGATCACAACCTCATACCATCACCGTAGACACGAAAATTCTGTCCATTCTCTTTGAGAAGGAACAGGGGCACATCGGATTCTTTATCCAGTAGCTAAAGAGCACGATGAAGACCGGTGGCTCATGGGAGAAAAAGAGTGGTGTCAAACTTTTGGGCCCTAAGGGAAATCTATCAAAATTGGGCTACGTTCTGACGGTTGGTGACCTTCTCAATGACAGCATATGCATCCAACCGCTTCTTAGTCCTAATGATTATATGGTAGTACTTTTCTCCACGACTGTTAAGGAGGCTATGCAACTAGAGACACCCAACACATTCCCTTACCACAGCAAGGTCAACTATGAGACTATGAGAACTATCTCATGAGCGTGCTTTCGCCCGTAGATTGGACTCTTTTCATGGTAGATGAACGGTGGACATAGATGAAGGAAGTAATGCTTGAAGTCACCGGTCACAGTATGACAGAGGTAGCATGTCGACCGTCAGTGTGCACCCCTTTGCTGAGGTGTAGGGTAGAGAGGCTAGTTCAGAAAAAGGGCAAGCTTGATCTAGTTGGGGTTCGTCATGCGGGGAGTTCAGCTTTTTAGGCTACAAAGGAACCCACGAGTGCCGCAGTATCAGAGTCTGTAGCGATAGATTCAGCCACCAAACATGCTAGTGAGAAGGTCACAAAGTAACACCAAAACCTGCTCTGCTTCATGTCACAAAGGAGGTCGACTGGTGAGGGGGTTGCTCTTATCACCGGTTCCAATGGAGTTGTTCTGAGCAGTCTGGAGGCAAACGAGCTACTGAGCTAGCACTTCGGAGGGCAGCTGAGTAATTCTGACACTAAATCTTCATTGGTGCGGTACAACGCTCATCAGACCATAAATAGAGAGTACTTTTTAACAGCACCACAACATGGAAAAAGTTATCGGAAAACCACTGAGGTTCTGACTAGACAAGTTTGCTGGCTGCGGCGACGTGAGGCCAGTAATTGTAAAGCGCCACACCGCTACACTTGCTGAACCAATCTTTAGCCCGTTCAGCACTCGTTAGACTCCAGCAGATTTTGTAGGGAATTGGGGGTACAAAACTTTGTAACTCATCTCCAGGTGAGAAGACGGTAGTGCCAAAAGCTACATAGCGCCTTTCCTACTCTTTATACTGTCAAAGTGCCAAAGAGTCTGATAGCCAATGAGGTCTGGGAACTCCCTAGTGTGGGAAACACCAAACACACCGCCCAACATAGGTTTTGGCGTCGTTATTCATGTACCAACAACTTGCCAACTGCTTCAGGCGACCGGACTTTTAGTTGAAACGACTGAAAACTAGTTCGTGTTACTTTTCTCGACCCATCTAAAGCGTTTGATTGCGTCCCACCCGCAACTCCTTTTCACAAGGTCGTGTCGCCCACTGTAAGTGAATCTCTACTCTCTTGGTTCAAAGTGTACCTAGAAGGCAGGCAATTCTGCACCGAATGAAACAGAATACAGTAGAAGTGTAAAACATAGACATCTTGGTATCCTAAAGAGCGGTGCTTCGACTACTGCTGTTCCTCTTGTCCATCAACGGTCTGCCACACCTAATCTCTCTGCCCATCCTCCTCTTCGATGATGACAAATATTTTCCGGATAGTAAACAAAGAGCCCGACTGTACAGCATTCCAAAATGACCTAAAGCAACTAGAAATGTTATCGCCGTAGAACGGCCATGGATTAAACCTGTAAAAGTTCAAAGCAGTCGGCAGCACTACCCGTAAGGCGAAAACCGCCGAAGTCCGTCACAAGTTGGACAAGCAAGCTATCACCGAAGTACTCACGGGAACAGATTCAGAGTTCAACCTCTCGGACACCATGCCGACCAGCTCTGGCTACAAGGAAATGGTGGCTTGGGTGAATGGCACTCCAGGCCTGCTGAGTAGATATCTGGGCGCTCTCACTCCTGAGCCACCTCTCACAGTTTCCAAATCCCATGTACGCAACATCGCTGGATCTTCAGTGCCGTAGCACCGTGAACGATAGAAAGAGACTCCAATCTCCCCGATAAAATCCAAAGACCTGCGACAAAATCGGCTATGGCATTAAGGGGGGACGTCTACCCTGAAAGAATGAAACACTCAATCCCAATCACTTTGGGGTATCGCAAAAAGAAGGGTGGTCTTATTATCACCTGCAAACTCATCCACAAGGCAAGTCACGCAGACACACCAACCTCGTCTGTATCAGGTGGCCATCACAAGAGAACACCTTCAGAAAAGCACATCAGAGGTCTAGCAGTAGGGTCATATCTAAAAATTTTCCCTTAGGAGTGCGCTATATGGCACGCCGAATCGTGAGAGGTAGTCACACCCTCCCCAGTAAACTCATCCAGAAGGCGTTAAGACAGTTAGTCATTTTGTTTGACTCATTTTGAAATTTTATTAGACCTGCATACGACTTCACTTGAGGTTCCGTAACATCTTCGCCCCAGCATACCTGAAAAGAGTCAGGAACCGCCCGAAGAAAGTTCAGAGGCGAGAGAGAGGGCTGCAGCATCATACGCTTCTTCAGAGTCAATAGCCTAGGGTTCGACGAGATTACACATTGACGCTGACTTGATAGTTTTACCGGACTCGTTGGGCTGAAGGCATCCGGACAGTCATCCTGGCCATTTGGCACGCCGCCGTGTTAAGTTGCACTGCTTGTAACAGACCATCTAGGCAGTTAGTCGGATCGCATCGGTATCTCAGCACAACCTCGCAAACATACTGTTCCACCCGACTAAGCTGTTGTGTTCTTTCTTCGTCTCATATTCGTGGGTATATAACAAGTCCGAATAATTAGTGATTGGCCTCTGAGATTGTCAAGTTCGTACCAGGACAATTCCTAAGTTGCGTTGTAGGGACGCACTAAAAACCATACGCGAAAAATTAAGAGATCTAGGCTTATTCCCTCTTAGGTACGAAATATTACAAGGTGATTCCATAATGGCTTACAAAACTACTACTATCGACTGATTCCAAAGCTATAACCGGGTGAACCATTGAGACTTTTCGACCTTCAAAGGAGTGTAACTGAACGAAAAGAACTAATCCTCGAGGCCTACGAGCTAGAACTTGAAAATAACAAGTTTCCTCTCCTCTCACTGTTGTTGCTAGAAGTTGGACCTTGACATTGAAGGCGGGAAAACATTTGTTGTTATTTGTTTCCACAATAATCTAACCATTTACTAATGGAAGGAATAAAAAGTAGATATAGGAAAGAAGAAATACCGATGGACTCAGTGAGCTTCTGGAGTCTCTAACTTTTGATGTGCTCAAAGCTCAACCAGAAGACGTGCTCACTTTTTGCGTAGAAAATTTAACTCAGAAACTTTACAACAGATCTAAAAATGACACATATGAAGCAACCGGTGAGAAATTAGACGAAAATTGACACGTAAACGTGACGCTCTCCTGTTTTATTGGTCTTTTTTGCTGCCATATCTCACTAGATGATGAAATTCCGACACTTTCATAAAGATCCTTTATGTAAACATAATGGTCAGCTATTATTCAGATTTCGGCTCTCATTCTGCATGTTTATAAAGGAGCTACAAAAATGAGTTAGTCTGAAAATCATTCGACCCCTAGTGTTAGCAATGTTGTGACCTGTTTCTATGTAGGAGTAGCAAACATGTTATGGTATTTAAATATGGGTTAAAATAGGCCCAGAATTTTAGTTTTTACTATGCAGCTGGTTACTAGAATGAGTGAGGTTTTGCGGTAGTCAGCTGTGCATATATCAGGTTTTTTTTGTTAATCCAGTTACTGAAGGAGCTGTTACCACTTGTTTTGTTGACAAGTTCCAGTTATTGATTACTCTGTGGAAGAACCAGCGCTTCACTCGAATATCGCTTGGCCCCTGATACTAAATCGTTTTTTGATGTCCTCAAAGATAGCCTGCTAGGTGGATAATAGGTAAGTAGGATAAACCAATAACTAATTCACTATTCAGAATAGGGTGAGATAAGAAGCATAAGCCCTGTTAGTCGCTCTTTGTAAGGAAACTGGGGAACACCTGGCCCTAATTTAAAGAAGACTCTTTAGACACATCTCAGCGTATCAGCTTCACCTTGCAGCATGAACTATCTACCTTGATACAATACCCTAAACTAGGATACATGATATTAAACATCTCACAGGGCAGTTTGATGTTCTACGGAGTGACCAAAGCATAAGAAAAGCGTTAGGTGTGAAAGCATTATATTTAACAATCTTCTTCACTTCATAACTTACGGTAACCTCAAAATGTTTTCACGAAAGCCAAAGTATTGCATTTTCATTCATTGAGTATTCACTAGAAAGATTATTCGTGACGAGCAATACCATAGTTTATTGGAATCGATTTCGAGACTGCATGGTTAATACTACTCAGCCAGTTCGTCAGCGCCAGCTTTGAGTGTGGACTTATCGTTATCATTATAGATGATCTTCTAAATCTTGACGTCATCGACAAATATCAGTGATGATAACTGGGGCGTCTTTGGTATTTCAGTAACATGAGGGAGGAAGAGCAGCAGTTCAGTGGCAGTGCCCTAAGAAACGCTAATGGTGAAAAGCTGCCACTCAGACAGTGATTCACTGACTCATACTCTTTCCCTCCCATTGTGTAAATAATCCATGATGTACGCATAAAATTCCTTGTCAATACCAAATGCGCGAATTTCCTTCAGCAACTTTCTGTGTGTTACACTTTATCGGATGCCTTAATCAAGTTAATAAACACCATATCCACAGGTTTTCATTGTTTCTAGCCCTAACTCAGTCCTTCCTCTCCAGCGGTAGGTTTTTCAAACAAGGGAATCCAATCCGGAAGCCATGTTGCTCCTTTGTCAGTTGGTTATGTGTTTCTGAATGCTTCAGTATCTCATTCTGTACTATCATCATTATTGTAACCACGATGGTAGAGAGATTAACGCGTTTTTAGCCGGCTGTCAGTTATCCTTCATCTTTCTTAAGCACCACTTACAACACAATCCGTTCAATCGCCATTCAGTTGCATCTGAGATAAGGACATTTAGAATAACATGGTTAAGGGTTTTTCAGCGGTATCGAGTAACAGCAGCAGAATCCTGGGATGTAAGCCGTCCGGTACTAGTGACTTCCAGACTTTAAATTTCTCAGCAGTCGCAGGATTGTCTGCCTCATGATTTAAATAGATTCAATTAGAGGAACCTTTGAAAATGCCATCAGCATCAAGAACCCATCAGAATTGTTAACGGAAAACATTAGACTAAAATATACAGACAAACTGTCCTCTCTGACCAGTTCCAGTTCTATCATAACTTTCATCTCCCTATATGACAACGCAACAGATATCTTCTCACGCTTAGTTTTTCTCTGAATCTGAGAGAAAAGTCTTTTTGGATATTTCAAGAATTTTCCACCAACAAACCTCATGTTCTGTTTGACATAAACCGACGATAGACTTACATTTATTTTTAACGTGATATTACTCCGACTTAAATGATTCGTTGCCTGTTTCTATGGGTGAATCCCATAAGCATTTCCTCCATCATAATAACTTTCCAGTTCTCTCTTCAAACCAAGACGGTCAATAAATAGGTCTTTGGTGAGTAGACCAATTAATAAACGGTAAGATTACACCATCATATGTAATCCTTAACCTCTCATAAGTTTTCTCCACCTAACGGTCTACATCAAGAGACCATTTACTCATCTACGTAAACGGCTCTACCGTGGCTTAGTAACTATTTAGTGATGTCCTCAAAATTGAACAGTTCTGAAGTAAGGAAATGGACAAGATAAGTTAGAACGAGAATCGTAATTCAAGACATAATAAATTAAAATAACATCACTCTTCATCCTGTGGCAAGACAATGAAAAAGACCTAAGTATCCAGTCATTCCCAGTAGGAAAGGTTGAAGTGCCATTTCATCATCCTGATTCTACGCTTTAGGCCATCTGTATTGTGTAAGCTTCAAATCCTAAACATGAGCTCTCAAAATTAGGTGCTACATATTTCACGTATACGATCTAAAACACTTTCTTATCGAAGCTGTTAGAGGCCTGTCTGAACGACTATAAGATTTGATAGACTTTGGTAGCTTTAAATCTAATGTGGTTGATGTTTTAAGGCTATGGCCCACTAGGATATATTAGTCCTTGTATTTAGCTACTTTTAGAAGCAGCACTTTGTTAATCAAGTGGTTATGTGGACCATCTTGATCGACAAACGATCTCAGCAACACTAATTTTTAGGTATAACCTTCTGAATTAATCTATCAGAGCATTTAAATCATTCTGTAGGAGGGACCCATTCTCATCGCTATCAATAAGTTTTCACAGTTTAACATCGTCTCCAAACATAAGCATAGAAGATCTAATCATGCTGAGCAAATCGTTCTCGTAGGGTAGGGAAAGAAGTAAACCCAAGACGTTACTTTCAGCCACTCTAGTCTTTGTCTCCGTGAAAATATAGTTCTATTTACTCCAACTCTTTTCCTTCTGTCTCAGAGAAAATGTTCGATCCATTTCTTAGCTTAGTCATTGATACTGAAGATTTCCAGCTTTTTTCTTAGACTTATATGGCGGAACTTGTTGAAAGCTTTGCCGAAGTCAACGAATATCATATCATTTGAGAAACTCATTTGACTTTCAGCAGCTCAGTCCTTTCTTGTAATGATAAGTTTTGTTAGGCACTACTGTTTGTTTCAAAACCCTGAGGCTATATGGTTAAAAGCCAGTATATTTTTTGACTTCCAAAGAATGGCATTATGGATAACCTTTAGCAAAAGCTGAACCATTAAGTTAGTCAGATCAATCAAGTGATTGGTGACCAATAGATGTCTATGCCCAGCTTCCATGTATGGCTGATGATGGCTTCCATAGAATTCCTCGATCGTTTTTATTGATTTAGTGACACAGCAAACAACCAAGAAAGCGGTTAGGTGGGTATCTGTTAGTGCTGTTTATACTTCTGGACGCAGCTTATCTAAACCAAGAAGTTGCCAATGTTCAGCACAGTGCTGAAGATGCCACTAAGCCTGATGATAAAATGTTCAAGACAAAATATCAAAGCTCAAAGAACATTAAACCACCATCGGGATTTCCAATCGAAGGCTAGAGCGTGCCGTCGGCAAAACATACTATACAGTCAAGTTATTTGTGGTTGAGAAAAAAAGAAATGCTGCAGCACAAACCTCATCACTGGATAAACGATTGCATAACATTCCTCTATGCGAACCAGTTTATGCGCGGAGTTGGACAAAAAAGCATAAGGAGGAGTAGTCGAACGAGTTGAGGGTAGTGAAAAATGCACTAAAACAGATACAAGTATCGATGAGCGCAGGTGACAGATAACCATCATCATCCAATGAAAAACACATCATTGATAAAGATCACAGGAGTGATGTAAAAAGAACCTTTAAAATATTGCATGAAAACTGCCAAGAACGTATAATGAGGTTTTGAGGCACAAGCCATACACAAACTTAAGTCTCACCCGAGTGCTTAGAAACAGTTTGTCCTCACGCTAATATCCAACCCTCGCCGGCTTTATCTTATCGTATTACCATGTTTATCTTCAGAACTCACCATTCTCCATTGAATATCTATCTTATTATTACTACATCTTTTATTGTCATATTTACCCTTCTTTAATTTCCATTTGTTGTATAAAATGTCTTAACAAGTGATTTTACGTTCAACATTTTTGAAGTGCACGACGCGAATACGTCACACTTTTCAGATTGGCTACGTATTATAAGTGCGTTGTCCAGATTCATTTCTGTTGATCTTTATTTACTACTACATCTATATGATTCAAAAATCCGGAGCAAAGAGTATCGGCTGCACTAGAGTAATATATTTCGATATAAATGACAAGAATTTTTCTGATATCTTCTGAAACTTCCTTACGATACAGATTGACTACAGTATTATTGTAGTTATTTTGGAGCGGATTTCGCAGCACTCTTCACTTCAAAATTCTTTTTCCAAAACTCTAGGGTGACTACTGGTTTCAACTCTGCAACAAGCTAAATTTGGCTGCTCATTTTTATTCTCTTCTGCTGTAACAAGACGATTGGCTCAATGGTGAGATTTTTGGCAGCTGTTAACCATCGTCTTTAAAGGATGCACAGACTGGTATTATACGTGTGTCAGAATATACTTTTTTCTATAAAAATACATTCAGCTTGAACAGTTTTTTTCTGCCATCCTTAACCTTATAATCCTTTCTTGCCAATTTCTTTATATTGTATCCAATCTCTTTGGAGAAAATAATGCTTTCTGACTGTATATATATTTTGGAAAAGTTTGTCCCATCTGTTATATCTAATGATAAAAACCTAATCTCGTACTAACCTTGACCAAATCCTTAGGGTGGCAGAAAATTTCATTGTTGTGTCATTGTCCAGTGAATGCATAAAAGCATTAGCTAATAATGGTGATAGTGGAGATCTTATCGCTTCGCCGAATGTTTGTCTATAAACATTTCTGGATGTAATACTGCTGATTGCAAACATAATTCTTGAGATTGAAAAAGTCCTTCTCCTGATCTGGTAGGTAATGTGAATTTAGGTTGACATGTGACATTAGCAGGCAGTGAATATATATTTGTGTGTCTTTAATAGGAACATTGGTAAATCAAGAACAAACATCCCAAACTGTCATCATTTCATCTCCTTCAATATAATTTAGAATGATTTTAATCTTGAATTTTTACGAACTCTTTACCTCGTATTTCTGTTCATTTTTGTTTGGATCTACAACTTCAGACATATGGTTGTCAGATTCAATGTTTTCAAGGTGACAAAACCTTACTAGTACCTACTTAGTAATGTCAGAAACAAACCTGATATCAAAATGCCAATAAGATCCAAGAGAAATATAAGAGTGTTTAGAATTATGTTCACAATCAACAATGTATGACAGATATTTACTGTTCTAGAGGGTTTTGAGTGGCCATCAGATATTATATTTATCCTGGTGACTAGCAGAGGAATCCAGGACGTGCGTTTCATCCTAGTTGGGACTCGTCAACTGGATTTGCTTGCACCCCAGTGAGTGATGTTCGCGTTATCTACTAAGCCACTGGGTCACGATAGCCACCTCCTTTGCAACAGGTATCAGTTGTTGTAACAATTCTTTTAATTTCCGGTTGCTATACAGGGCCGAATCGCCCGACCTCTGTTAGCCAATAGACAGCTGCGATTAAAGAAATGACTTAGAAGGCTTTACGTAAATAGTTTTGAACTTAATTGGTGAAATGACATCTTCTAAAGCTTAACTAATCGCATTAATCTTTATTTTCACATTGTTTATTCACTCACACTACTTTATCCACTTTAATATCACACCTTTTCTGTCCACCTGTTCTTTGTGTACAACAGTGAAGTGTGGCAACTTGAGCTGAAGCACCTATGTACGAGGTTCAACGTTGATTTCGTCAGTTAATCATGTCTTCCTGGAGATTATACAATAAGTGGCTTATGAAAATAGCTAGTACCTAGTTATAGATAAATGACTGGTCAAGAGGAAAAAGTGATTAGAAAAACCTAGCTTCTAGAAAACAGTCAAAAATGCTAGGTTTCATTCAGATCATCCTGATAAGTTAAAAAGCGAAGAAGTGTAATTCATCAACCGATTGCACGTTTATGTAGTAACCGATGAGCCACCTTTGACAACTCAGCCATAGCTTCGAGGTGAGTTATACTGCTTAATAAATGATCCTGAAGTCTCTTCAATCTCTACATTTCACCAAAGTTTTTTCATGCGTTATTAACAAAACTACTTTATTTACTTTCTTTATACCTATTATCTTACTTGGATATCTTTTCTACCAGGAAATAAATGATTCATATAAATTGTTTATTGTCAAATTACATTATATATGTATGTATATATATATATATATATATATATATATATTACACTTTTCAGCTGAGGAAACATTAAGGTTTGAAAAACCAGCAGTAATCAAACTGGTTTCTCCTAAGCAACCATTCCAAGGTGAGTATATTCAATACAAAATCTCAGAGGTTTACTCTTGAGTGGAATATATTTTACAAAAACACCGGGAAGATTTTTTATTTCGATCGATCATAACAAACACGATCAATTTCTGCGATTGATAATTTGTACGATACAGAGAATGATAGCATATCATCTAAACTGGATTAATTAGACTACATGAGAACATACTGACGATCAGGAAATGTCTTAAATTCCCTGATCAGCCGAATACTAGAGAAAATATCGTGACAGAAAAGTTTGATTTTATTTATTTTTATATTTTGATCTTGGATAGCCGGATGGAATCAGAAGGAGCCCTGCCGTGGCATGAACTTAAAGACTAAGTGAATACACAGTTTCAGTATTTCTGTCAGGCATTTTATCAATTAGAAGAGTACATTTTACTCCATAATTTCATGCCTAAACTTAAAAGTGCTTACTACTAAGTCCCATTATACCCAAGATATATTTTGCATACGCGTATTACCGGAAACCCATTACTCCATCACCTTTTCCGTTTACAGGGGAAATTTTTTTACAAGCATGAAGCTGGGAAATAGACACCTGGTTAGACTTGTAACTATCCTTAAGAGTGTCACAGTCTAACAGACGCTAGATGGAACTTCTGTGGCTACACTGCAATTTCATCACTGACCAGTCCATTTGAGTGGAGGCAACTTCCCAGATAAGTGAAGTGAGACGGAAATCACGATCCTTAAATATTAACCAACCAGACAAGCATAGTGGATCCTCTCAGCATTTAACTATTATTTTGGAATAAATCTAATTTTAACCCAGCCAGAGTGGCTTTATGCGGATAGTTCGCTCGCCCCCTTCCTCCCTCCTTCCCTCCCTCCCTGCCTACCTCCCTCCCTCCCTCCCTACCTACCTCCCTACCTACCTACCTACCCACCTACCTACCTACCTACCTACCTACCTACCCACCTACCTACCTACCTACCTACCTACCTACATACTGAGGAACTTTTCGGAATAAGACAATGTTTAGAAGCAGATGATTTCCAACTATTTATCTCTGATTTATTTCAATGTAAACTTCTGCTTCTAAATTTTGATCTCCGTATCAAGTGAGCTTATTGTATGAAATAAAGTATTTGAAATATTTTATGCTAGGTGAACCAGAGGAAGATGCCAAAGATACGTTCAGCTCAACTGAAGGTGGGCCAGTCGTCCATCCTGTACAAATTGAAAGTGAGTAAATTGAAGATATCAAATGAGTCTCTTTTTGTTTTGTAAAACTGACAGTTGAAATGATCAGGCATATTCTAGTGCTTAGCCTAGACAGTCTTGTCGATGATAATTATGAAATGTGATACTGTTTAGTTGTGCGTCGGTGAGTGGATAATAGTCAGAGTTTTCACATAATAAGTTCCATTTATAAATATTTGCAAAGTAAAAACAACTAAAATTGTGGGATGTAAATTTGATTCACTTCGTGTGCTCTAAATCTTCCGCATACACAATAAGTTTAAAATGTTGTACAGTAAGTTATCAGCGTGCATCATAAGTCATTTGTTACATTTCAATGGTAAAATCAACACCGACTACATCTAAATATCAATACATACATATGCAAATAAAGAGGAGTGACAAAGTTCACGACCTAACAACCGACACAGGAAAATATTAACGTAACGAATAAGGCCAAACAATCAACCAGTAAGTAAAAAGAAAACAACACGTAGTAGTAGTGAAGGCATATGATTACAGTCCAAGGTGGTGGGAACTCTGATAAAAGGAAGAAAACAACAAAGATGGTATGTAAAGTCTGTGAATTGATGGCAGAGGAATGGAAGATGATATGCTAGAAACCATGACTAAGATATAATGCGTTAAAGTAAATGAAAAATATCTAAGTCAATAAGATGAAAATTTAAAACAGTAAGTAAAGCTGTAGAAAAAGAACAACTCACCAAGGTTGACCACAAATTCCTTTTGCATACATCAATTTGGTTTCAGTAGACGAATCGTTACTGCTTCTGCATAAAGTAGCAATCTACTATTTCTTTGTCTGTTGATTACCTTGAAAGCTGTGTTTGAGTCGACGGCATGATCTGTATCGAGGATGTGCTTACTTATGCCACTGCTTGGTAGCCTTCCACCTCTCGATGATAGGCTTTTCGGTATATATTCAGAGATTCATGTAGTAAGGACCCTTTCCGTTCTTTCGACATAAATATTGATGCAAGTACAGGCAAACAAATAAATACAACTGGAGATAATATAAAGAGACCTCACATCTAAATTAGTTTCTCTAATAATGTTCTTTTTATCATGGACAACTGTTAGTTTCGCGTTGCAGTTGGCCATCATTTTATATACTCAATTCATCACCTTTGAATGGTAGCTTAACAAACAAGTCAGATTACTGTGATGAGGATTAAAACTTGTATTCACCTATTCTATACAGATTTCTCATCTCCACGCTTTAAAAATGACACCAGATTCGGATAACTGTCTTGTCGTTTAAAATCACTACATTACCCACCTTTCTAAGTAAGCAAAATCACCATCGGTAACCAGAATGCTACTAAATTGCAAATATTACGTTTAATTATTATTATTATTATTTGTCGCTTGAGTTCGTAATGGAACACAGGGCTTCAGTAGCACGTCTCCAATGCGCTCTGTTCTCTGAAATCTTTTAAACCTGGCTCCACAACAGCCCAGTAGCTCTCATTTGTTTAACCAACTCCATATCTCCTCTTTTCATAATCAGTTTTAGCCTATGGGGGAAATCTTTAGAGGAAATAACTGAATAGTAACCAAACTACGAAAGCAGGTGTTGCTAGATAACTTAACTTATTGAATAGTGGCCTTCACTGGGTCGACATGAAAACCAATGTAGATGGGCCTTACCTTCACGTCATTTCTGTAGGATCCCTGTGGTGTTACGAAGATGTTGATGAACAAGTATAAAGGGTCATTGTACATTCTTAAAAATAGGTTGTTAGCTCTTGAAAGTGTAGATCAGAAATCCATGCACTAAAATATGATGTACACATCCACTTGATGAAGTCTGTTGCTGTTGATTTGAGTCGTTTGAGGATATCCAAACTGTCGGGTTGGGGTCCCCGAGATGAAAGGAACGAGTGATTCAGGACTCTTGGTGATATGGGTGAAAATCGGTCACAATAGTACAGATGCATTCACTTATTAACATCTAAATATTCATGCTGACTTTTATCTTCAGACTGTTTATTCTCTCACCCTACTTTATCTACTTTGATATCGCTGCTTTTCTTTCCGCTTTTACTTCGTACACTACTGTAAAGTGTGGCAACTTGAGCCGACGCACCTGTTTGCGAGGTTCGACGTTGATTTTGTCAACCGATCATGTTTCACTAGATTTTATTTCAAAAATGTTAATGTTCATTGCTATTCTCCATATCATCGTGTTGAAGTAGCTTATCCATTTATTGATACAAAGTATGGGTCACTTCGATAATAATGGCGCTGTACTGTTTTTGGAACAGAATTATGAATTTAATTTATACGCACTTAGATTTCACTAGAAGTACTTCATAGAATGACACAGGGAAGAATAAGAAGTGTAGTTGTAACACATATATTTAAGACAGTTTCAAAAAACAGTCGCATCAAATATTCACACTAACACAAAAGTAGTAGCTTAGACTCCAGTGTACATAAATAGTAGCCAACAGGATTATAAAATTAATCAAAGCCACATAGAATGACAATCATCGATGGGAATATTGTCAGAAATTCAAGTGGTGTTCATGCCTTGAACAAACAAAAACTCATGGACGCATCACACATCTGTCTGAGCAATGACAACTCCTCACAGATATTAACTGCTAGTTATTACACATCAAAAAGAAAAGCTCACTAACACGACGGTGGAAGTCATTAACTGTACCAATTTATCTCTGGATAGAGATAGTACAAGAAAAACTATCGACTTGTCTGTACTACACTGAAATATTCAATTCATACAGTCTATATATACACATTAAACTGGAATGATTATTTCTAATCAACCAGATAAGGGAGTCGAAGTAGACCTCAAAGATGGCAAACCTCCTGACGAAGGAGCAGCTCCTCTTCTCCGAAAATATGAAAGTAAGTAACAACAAAACTGCAGGTTTATGAACATCTGGTCCATGGCTGTTATGCATGTCCTGGAAGAATTTGAGCACCAAATCTAATTTTATTATAAAATAAGTAAGTTTAATATAATCGTGGCGTGTTTAGAAAGACAAACAAGATTTTTCTGAATATTTCGCTGTGTATGTCACAGCTTTTTTAGCAAAATAGTCGGATTTTTGCAATTTCTAGTTGCTATACAAAGTCAAATTGCGCAACCAATTTTGGTAGATAAGCTCCTATGTGAATGCCTCCATACTGCCTGATATTCATGATGTTATATTGATCTTAGTGACTAGCAGAGGAATCCTACTTGGGACTCGTCAGCCGGATGTGCCTACACTCCAGTGAGTGATATTGTTCCCAGTAGGGCTTGAACATAACACTCTTCGCTTCAAATGCCAGAGCGTTATCCACTACAACGATATCACTCACTGGGGTGCAGGTACATCCAATTCATGAGTCCTAAATAGGATGAAACGCGCGTCTTGGATTCCCTTGCCAGTCACTAAGATCAATAAGGTCGAACATTTATCAATAAAAATTCATGGAATAAAAGTGTGAATCTTCTGTTGTAGGTGAGAAACGTTTAAAAAATCTTGTCCTGGTTTTCCAAATACCCGAGGTTTATACTAAAGTTTACTTATACCAACTAAATTTTATTATAATTTATCACAAAAACTGGCTCTAGTTTGTTTATGGTAGCATTTTTCAGTGCTACAGTTAATTCTTTTACCTCCACACTTGTTTCTGATATAAATTTCTCTGCAACTATAAATCTAAACAGAAGCAGATGTCAACAGAGTGAAAGAAATTTTGTGGGAGTAAAACAATGTAAATTGATGTTCCGTACTGGTATCAAGTGGTCGACTGAAGTGCATACACCATATATCGTTTTTCAAGATTGTACATCTCTTCTGTCCCATTCTGGTGGGAATCAGAATATTCCATTTATCCCAATTCATCCAACATTGTATATTCCCATATGTCCTTTTACTTTGGTAGAGAAAGCCTTAATCAGGTAGAAGTGTTAATTAGAACGCCTGCTTCAAACCCTATGAATCTTACATGATCATCCATATTGTAAACGGGATCTGCGAGAAGAAACTTAAAACCATTGTGACTGTTAACACGATAATCAATTTCATTTCTTGACTTATAAGAGGGATGTGGTTTGAAAGCTCCCTCAAATCTACGAATTTTTTAATTTAGCAGTTGAATATGACTCTGAATGTTTATTAGCCGTATAAGCAACACATATCAGAACAGACGTGTTCTATTTCCTGCAGTAAATTAGTCCGGTAGTAGTTTCCTCCTTCATAAAACAGAAATGACATGCATTACAAGAATATATATGCAGAAATTCATTATGTTCTTCTATTAACATTATTCCACCTGTTGGGCATAAGTGTAATGATAATTCAACTACAACAAGATGATAACATCATTTAAAGATAGAAGCTGATACATCTATGGACTCTTGGACAATAACACTTATACTACAACTTTAAGGGTTGTTTGGCTTCTTGGTAACAGAAAGAAAAGACAAAGCGATGGAAGGTTTATTGTCAGGTAGAAAACTGTACAAAAAAACCTTAGGTATATACATTTCAGTGACCTTAAGACTTTCCATACTTTCCTTGAAGGACATTCGACCAATCTTAAGCTGACGCGTATTAACACGTGGTTTCCGCAAATGTTTGGCTAATGTAAAGGCTTTTAGGAAACGTTGGGCTTTTTTGAAGAAATGAGGAGGTAGTGATCCATGCAATAACAGAATATAACCTCATAACTGATATGGGAAGGATGGCAAGACTGGTTATTATAGCAGTATAGGCTACAATAAGTTTAATGAAAACTAGCTATTTCGAAATTGATTCGTCTACTTGTTAATAAATATAGGGTGAGTTTGGTGTATCAAACCATTATGATCACCTATTTTTGATGTCAGATGATGATTCAAAGTTAAATGAAAACCTGGACTACGGCAGGATTCGAACCAGTGACCTCAGGACTTCTGGCCTGCCATTCTACTAGCTGAGATTTGAAACTTCGCTTGAGTCACTTAGGACTTTGCTTGGACAGTCAGGCACCATGCAATCACATAACAGCTAAGCAAGACTCTCAGTGGTTGAACTGGAGCTACGACCTAAAAGGCAGCTGGGTCCTGAAGCTCAGCTGGTTCAGCAGTGGGTTGCTAAGTTAGAAACTATTGCTTCCAGTCCTGACCCAAACCAGGTTTTTATTTCACCTTCAGTCAGCATTATGTATGGAGGATATCATTCTATCAAACCATGGCTACCTCAGATAACCGTATCAATAGTAACTATTTTGTGAGGCTAGCGATACCAAACTACTTCTCAGCACTCGTTAAACTGAATGAGGTTAAAAATTGTTACACACCAATTGAAACCAGTGGAAGTTTAATAGAACGCATTGTAGTATTCTACTTCTGAATTATATTTATGTTTGAATTTCAGCTTATCTTTTTCTTAGTTTAGTAGTGTCAGTTGACTGGGATTTTTAAATTGAACTGCTTCACCAATCTGAAATTCCACCGGAAAAATCTTTCAGTATGATGCTGGATATTGTCATCATTACAGACTCTTTATTTTTTTCACTCTTACGTAAAGTTTCACTAAAGACGATACCTAACATATTCCGAAAATGTTTACTTACACTAAAACTCTAGCTCACAAAATAAATGAATCTGAACATTGATATCTGCAGAAAAAATATCCAACTAAGACTCATTAAAATTCTACCCAGTGGTTGTTAGAAGTTACCAGTTTAACTTGTTTCATTCACTTCCAGTGTAGCCTTCATACTATTCACAAATTAATACCTCTTTATGATTGATGCAAAGTAAGCTAAAGTAGTAAAGTTCACTTTGAAATTATATGATATAATGGTGGACGAACTACCATACGACTAATAATTGGAAGTGACATGATGGAATGTGTCAACCACTTCACTTGAAGAGTTGCATCAGCCTTAACGGGCTAGTTATTGACGAAATCTCAGCTCGGATACACAAGCCCGTTTCATATTTGCTAACTTGCGTCACCTGTGACGCCGGCGAAATATCCTATTACCTATCAAAGGATGTGTGCTGAGCTGCAGTCCGTTCTATCCTGTTTTACGGCTGAGACATGCCGTTGAAAGTAGAAGACATGAAGCAGTTGCAGGGTTTCGATCATAGGTGTCTTCGTAGCATTCCTTGTGTTTGGTGGAATCATCGTGTGAACAATGTTGATGTCAGATAAGGCGAACTAGGTAAGATAGGCAGGTCGATTCATGAGGTGGTGAACCTAAGACGGACGTGTACTGAACATGACCAGCCACCGCCTACCTCAATGAGCCATGCATGGGGAAGTTGAGTTAGGTTGGAAGGGGGTTCAGAGTGACCAGACCAAGACCTAGCATCAGTCAATGAAGTCCCAGGCTGGTAGCCTGAGTCGCGTAGGGAGATGTAGACTTCTGGGTTGGAGTCCCTGAGACGAAAGGAATCAGTGGTTAATAACTGTTGGTGACATGAGTAAAAATTGGTCACAATGGCGCAGATTAATTCACTTCTTGACATCTCCTGAAGCACACATATTCACAATAACGGTTATCTTCAAACTGCTTATTCGTCCACACAGCTTTATGTGCCTTGAAATCGCTCTTATTCTATCCACCTGTCTTGTATAGTGCTGTGAAGTGTGTCAACTTGAACCGGTGTACACGTGTGCGAGATTCTACTTTGATTATCTGTCTGCCTATCAGTTTTTAACCTTTCAAGACAACTGATGAACTGATAAGCAAGGAATACCAAAGAATCACACTGATTGCTATCAAACAACATGTTCCATTGTGAAGCTGTTCATAACCTCAAAGACCTAGTATTACTATCTATTGAATAAGTTGCCGGACGAAATAAGTCTGAAGTTTACAATGGTAACAATAATAATTTATCTAGAGCTAAGGGTGGACAATGTTCATAATTGCTAGCAATTATATCTCTTAAAGTCATATTCTTTCCATCAGTTATCTAAATTAATTTTTTAAATTTTCTCACTACTTCGAGTTAACAGGGTTGATAATAGTAATAATAATAATAACAATAATAAGATAGCTTTCATCACGGACTGACATCAGCTGGAGAACCAATGAAAACCTGCGATCACTGGACACCATTTCGTCCTAGTACGGGACTCCATGATTTGAGATGGATATCCCGAAATTCTAACGAGAAGCTGTGATCTATGTGGTCAACCAGTCGGAAGTGAAGCAGATGCCAACCGCAGACCTTGGATGATAGTCGCAGTATATCGCGAATCAACAGAAGTAGGAAACCATGAGTCGTTGAACTTTGAATGGTTATCGCGTTCGCTGTGAAAACTGAATGTCCTCAGTTCGATCTCTTGTAAGTCAGGGTTGAAGAGTCCCACAATAGGACGAAACGGCTGTTCAGTACTCCCAGGTTTCCAATGATTCTCCAACTGATGTCGGTTCGTCACGAATGCTACCTTAAACATATAATCCTTATTAATCTCAAAATACGATAATAAAAATAATCATATTTTGCTGTACACCACTTAAATCTAGGCTTTATGTCTGAAGAATTTACAATGAGTCAACAGTGTACAAGTGTACAACGTCGTCAAGGTGTTATGGGAGTTAGTATAGATCCAGAAAAAGCATATAATTATAAGATAACAATGTATCCTAAAAGTGAAGCACAAAAAGAAAAGTTAATGCAAGTTGTTCATGATATTCATTTACTTCGATGCCTTGATATTGATGATCATATAGAATTAGTTAATGCAATGTTTGAATGTAAAGTGGAACCAGGTGAAGAAATTATTAAATATGGTGAAGATGGTGATAATTTTTATATCATTGAAGATGGTAACTATGAAATATATACTATGAAAGATAAGATAATGCAAAAAATTACTGAATACAAAGGGAAAGGATCATTTGGTGAATTAGCTTTATTGTATAATACACCAAGATCAGTAACTGTGATAGCAATTACTAAAGGTACATTATGGGTAATAAAACGAGATATATTTCATGCAATTATTACAATGAAAGCATTTAAAAAACGTAAATTATATCAATCATTATTAGAAAAAGTTGATATACTTAATTTCTTAACACCATATGAACGTATAAATCTAGTGGATATATTACAAACACGTATTGTGGAAAAAAATGAAGTAATCTTTTTACAAGGTGAATTAAGTTATGAAATGTATTTTATATTATCTGGTTCGGTAAAGGTTATTAGTGAAGAGAATAACAATGAACTAGATAAGCAACAAGTTGAATTGTATAAATTACAAGAGAATGATTATTTCGGTGAATTAGCCTTGTTGACAACTAATCCACGTACTGAATCAGTTTATGCATTAGAACAAACATGTTTAGCTGTTTTAGATGTGAATAGCTTTTATCGATTGTTAGGACCATATCAAGAAGTATTGTATCGAAAATTACAAGTACGATTATCAAGTGGACAGATTAAATAGGTATGTGAATTATATTTTAATGAATATAAAAGTCACTATACTATTTTATTTTTGCCTTTCAACAACTGATGAGATTTGTGTTCATCTCTCCTTTCTCTCTCTGTCGATGCGTAAAACCGAAAAATTGTATTTTTGTCGCAAAACTTTTCAAGTAAATAAAAGATTTCGGAAAACAAAATAATACAAATCAGCAAGATAATTTTGTCTTTCAGTAAATTACAACATGGGGAAACAATGAGTATTTTGAGGTTGTTGGAGATTTTATGTTTAGGGTAGTATTCATCACGGACTGACATCATTTGGAGAACCATTGAACTCCAACCCAGTGGCTGAATGGTTAAAGCGTTTACCGTGAAACCTGAAAGTCTTCATTTCCATCTCTGGTCGGGTCGTGAGTACTGCAGAGGAGTCCCTTACTAGGACGAAACGGCTATCCATTGCTCCTAGATTTCCATTGGGTCTCCGACTGATATCAATCCATGGTAAATGCCACCTGAAACAAAAAGTGTTTGAAATTAGTCCATCATAATCTGCGTTAACTAGGCTTACTGAAGTATTTATGGTCTAATTACAAATTCGTACATTCACTATATGATATCGCTTATAAATCTCAGTAGTAATTTATTTCACTATAAATAACTATGCCGTGCTGGATCATACAAGTCTCAATAACCACAGTCCCATGAGTTTTCTTGGTATACTGAATAAGATGGCGATTTCACATATCTCCCTACCGTATATTAGCAATCCACGGAGTCTGACAACCAGACAAAAACTTAAGGCAGCCATTCGGAAAGTATACATGACAGCAAAGGTCGACATCACAGAGAAAAAGAAATTTATGTACTCCTGTAAACCATCACAACATACAATTTATAAGGTCAGGTCTACTTGCCCTTACTAGTTAACACATACTTGTGTTCACAATACATAGGGAGGATCTATGCAAGTAAGAGATGCAGAGTATGCTCTAAAATGGCTGCAACAACAAATCCAATGAATGATTTTGTTGACCGATACAACATATATCCAACTTCTTCAACAGCTAAACATGTCGTTGAAATGGGTCACACAGTGATGTGTATACATCTTTCGATCCCATTTACAAAAGCACTTAGAGATATATACTCAGGTTTGTTGAAGCTCCAGCTAGAGGAAATAGTGACCTCTTTTAGGTACTCAAAATCAATTTTTCATATTTATTGGCTGTCTGAAAACCTCTGTTGGCAGTAAGGTTTCGTCACATACCACTTTATCTACTCCCAAAGTATCTTTCTACGCTACTTGGTTCATCCATTCCCCCAGTGAACTACGTAATTACGCTTTGTGTTTTGCAGCATGTTAGGGATTTCCGATAACTCGCCTTTTACTTCGTTCAACAGTTAGCAGGTGCGAAAACGCATAGCAAGGACGGGCAAGCGTATTTCAGTGTTCAAGAATTCTTTCACAACCATTCAATTTTAGTCATATCGCAACCAAGTGTACTGGCTGTTAAGTCACTTAGAGTGGAAGAAGTTCACGACGTTCAGCATCAACTAGATAAGTTATCTTGACAATAATTCACAACTACGGATGTTAATTCTACTAAGGTTCTTCGTTTAGTTTGAAATACGGTTTCTATGTTGGATCCGCGATAAGCAGCACTGTTTTGGAACAGCAATAGTGCACATTCTGTTGCCAAAAGTGATCATTTCACAAAAAGCTTTTTACATGCTTTTAAGTTACTTTCGATCTATGATTGAATGAATCCAACCTCATCATTAGTACTACAGGTCAAACAGGTGTTAATCATTTTACCCATCATTTCGTTAGTTCAGAGTAGCTGCCACTGCAGAATGGTGTCAACCGCAGAATCAACGAAAAACTTGGTTGTGTAGGACAGGTATTTCACCCAAGTTCGGTATCCCTTAGCAGTGCACACCTGCGAACTCATGAAGAACCAAACACAAGTCAGATACCGTGGCATGCGGTAACTAGGCTGAGAACAGGAAAACAGGTTATTCCATTCCAACCCAATAGGTAAATGATAACGGATTCACGGTGACAACCGTTTGTCCTAAGCTCAGTCCGTTGCGAATGCGAATGACTGAGACGCCTATACGAAGACGAAACAATTGTCTAGTGCTCCCACGATTTCAAATGTTCTCCAACCGTCAGTTTACGAACAAAACTACTTTGAAACCAATCAATTCATACAAACCATTGATTGAGCAATCTCATGAATGGCATTTAAGACGCTATAACATGTCATTCAGCCACTCGATACCAGCGTGAGACCTGGTCTTAGTACTTAACAGTCCAATTTACCACATCTCGCAAGGTGGTGGAAACCAAGATAAAAGATAGAGAAATAAGGGAGAAACAAATCAAAGTAGAAAGCCATAAAAGATGGTAAAACAACGAAATTTGATCTGACGAAGACAGTGCGTGGGTGCATTTGTTAGTGAAGATGATTGAGACATATCACTTTATCTTCAACCACCAAAATACGTTGGCACGAAGACCTTACATGGCTTATAGCAACATTCAAACACTTCATGGACTGATGCCATGCATGACCGCCTCTTACCCTTTCATAGTGTCAGCTAACACTGCGCGACTGGGAAGACGGTGATTCAGCAAGCGTAACGTATCTTAGCCACCTGAGTCGGCGAAGTCTGTAACTTCATCACTCGGCTTACCTCTTCTATCTTAAATGCTACGCCCGGTATCTACGTCAGCTGTTGATCACCTCAGCGGCTAACAACTTGATTTTTATCTTTTTTAAATAATTAATCGTTGTCTAGAACAGATGACTATTCAGTAATCACATTCCAACAGTGTCATTTCAACTTACAATCTCGAATCCTAATACTTGAGACCACGAAAACAAGCCAGCAAACCCCTAGGTATCTGAAAGGTTAGGTTAATCGTGCATCAACCAGGTAAGAAGTGGTCAGTCAAGCTACAATCTGGCTTGTGTAATTCAGAAACGAAACAAAATCTGTGGTTCCTATTTTCAGTTTTCTTCACTGAATTTGGTTGAGATTTAATATGGCAATGAAACCTCAACACAGTTTGAAGTGTAATTTCAACAGAGCATGAACACCTTGAAACCGGTAGCATAGATGGGAGTTCAAAGTGGTACGGAAAAATTGTTAGGAAGAACGAATGAAAAATATTCGGAAACAATGTAAAAGATGGTTCGTGACAAGCAGAGGTACTAATGAGTTTTTGGAAGTTTGCGGATCTAGTCTAACAGAATTTATCTTTTCTCGAAGGAATTAAAAACAAAGTTGAAGTAGCATGGATTTGTCATTGACATCGATGCGTGACAGTACATCTGGAAAAACTGAATCACACTCGTTGACAGTGGTACGCTGCAATTCCATTTTAGTTGATGATAGGCCTATATCGAAATCAGCATTCTAAATCATCAGCCGCTAAGGTGGAAGTTTCGGATCTCAACCTTGGTTTCATGTTAATGTGTGGGCAGGGAAGACTTTATTGGACAATTTCGTCCATCAGCTGACCAATGAAAATAAGTACCCAACTTCTGATATTCATGCATCAGTGAAGTTTCAGGCTTGAGGGAGAATAGTCGCTATTCGTTTCTAGTTCAAGTGTCTCGTTGTGTTGATAGCGTTCTCATTTTCGTATTATCCTGTCAATCACTTCAGTTGGTTTATCAGATGTATGACACTGAAAAAGTATTACTTAATAGATAATTTTACCGATACAATTTGTCCATGACCATATCAGCAACATTCAAACATCGTTTAGGCAGCTCTAACTTTCTTTACTTTTTGGCCAAACATTATCCTGTAAATAATAATCTGTTTCACTGTGTGATATATCTAGTAAGTCAACTAAAGTGGAATGCCGTGACACTTGAGAAATGGCAACGTTCGACTTTGTCCACTTATTTTTTCAGCTAAAAAATGCTGTCACCTATCATGTTACGAAATTGTGCGTTACTTTTTAGATTAACCTTTCCTAATCCCAATTTGACTAAGGAAAGACAAGGTCACCAGAGGTGTCGGTTATCTATCAGCACAGCGTTAAGTATGATTTCATCAGAGAATTCGAAAATGTTACGCTATATTTATTGCCAAAACAATCGATTCCTTTATTCTTGTTGGGAGTTTGAAGAGGAGGTGTACCAGTGAAAATAACTAAACTGGGTCACCAAGCTTGATTACCATAAAATGGTAACCACCATGATTGAACCAAGACCACGTTAATGGCTCATAGTAGAGTATATTCAAAGTGTTAATTAGTTTCCCATATACCTATTGTGAAAAACCTTTTACGACTCATAAAAAATCAATCAAAACTACCAAACAGTTCGTTGTTTACTAGTCAGCTGGCTCTACAACAGTTTTCTTGTGACTAAACTACATCGAATGTCGAAGTTCATTTCTGATGTTGAAGTAATGAAGTCCTTCATAAGCAAAATATAGCTATTCATTTTTCTATAAAACATATTATGTGAAAGCAGTCTAAACGACCTTGCTGTCTAGATCGAAACTGAAGCAAGATCTAAACACAAGACAACATTAAACAATACAGTTTACCAAAGAATTCTCCTGTAACCTGAAAACCTTGTAGCTGATAATAGTGGTGCTACTGTTTATTTCATTAATTTGATGAAAGAAAAAAAATATAGACTAGATTATTTCATTTGTTCGCATGTAGTAATATCCATCCATCAACAAAAGAAATAACAACTTATTTAATGCAAAATTCCATATTTTCATATTAAATACTATTTGCAAAAAAACATTTATGCTTCACAAAGTCAAAGAGAGATAGAGATTTAGTCCAAAGACATGTATAGTGCGTTAACATATCGGTAAATCTGCTATGATGACTCTCTGACTGCCAATGAGTTTCATGGGAATCCATCAAATTCGTCTTCAGAGAGTTCTTTCGCATTTTCTAGCTCTTGTTGTTCTCTTTCCCGGCGTTCCTTTAAACAACAAACGGATAACATGGTAAATTAAATGGAAATATCAGACCAAGCAAACGAAAAAGTGATTTCAACAACCGTAATACAGATTCCCTCTATTTCTTTTTACATCTTTATAGACAAATAACATTATAAATTTCTGAGTAAATGCCTTTCAATATAAATGACAAGTACTTTGAAAGTGCTAAACGACTTTGAAAAGAATAGGCATAAAACTTGCTTTGAAATAGAACAAGATGAAATCACTTGTTGTGGAGCATAATAAAAATAGAGTGCTCAAATACAGATAAATGCTGAAAGATAATAACGATGATGATGATAATAACAACTTAACTAAGTAATCATGTCCAGTTTATGCACCACTCATTGCTGACTAACACCTATAGTGCGATGGATATTCTCCGTCTCAAAAAACGCACTTGAAACCTTCAACTTTGAACTGATTCAAAGACATCTATCAATCACGTTCTTCTACTTCCAAATCGATAGCTGCTACCTTTACATAGTGATAAGCCATGGATATAGCAATGGCCTGTTGGACAATGGTATGAGGAAATTAATTGCCATCATGGTGTAAATAGCTTACGTTATAATGAAGATCCAGTGGCCAAGTAATGCTGGTTGGACGACATGTAACAGCAGTGTTCCCAAAGAATGACCAGTAGTTCATGCTGATGCCGCTTCTCTATAGGAACGGGAGGTTCAAAAAGGTCAGGTCCTAAAAGGTAAACTTCTTGTCCCACAGAATTCCAGTGCTGGTAGTAGAACAATCACCCTTAAAATGGTTATGCGTGACAGGCTTCAAGCAGATGTCATATAGGATCTATGGTCACGTAAATTTGAACCCTTTTTCCTTTCAGGTACCTTGCGGAATCAATCTCCACGATGTGGGCAAGCGGGAAGTACCAACCAACCGTACGCTTGCAGCACGTCGTACGAAAACCCAACTAACCGCAACCTGCCATCTGGACCTTGGCCAACTAATTTCCTTAATCTTCTTGTCAACAGTTAGTATTGAAAGCGCTCATACAATAAGGGAAGCTCATAGACTTCAGTTGCAATGTTGTCATGGTCGGATGGCTTGAACACGTCCATCTCAGTGACTAATGTCATGGTGAAACACAACTGTGAATTGGAAGTAATATTTTCGGGGACGGTATGGCTAACAGTCCAGTATATCTAGCGGTATGTGGTTGTTGAGTTATTTAGACTGACTGACTGATTGATAAAATCAAGGCAGAACTTCACACAAAGATGCGCCGGCTAAAGTTGTCACACTTCATAGTAGTACACAAAGCAGAGGTGGATAGAAAAGGAGTGATATCAAAGAAGATAAAGTTTCGTGATAGGATAAACAATCTGAAGATAAAGGTTAGTGCGAATGCTCAAGCTTTGAAAGATGACAACCACTGTGATCGATTCTCAGCCATGTCCCCAAGAGTCTCAACCACAGATTTCTTCCATCTCGCGGACCCCAGCCAGTAGTCTACACCCCCCCCCCAAATGGCTCAGACCAACAGTAAGAGACGTCGTGGGCTGGTGTAGGTCTTGGTCTGGCAACCCTGAACTCTTCTTCCAGTCCAATCCAACTACCCCAAGCATGGAACATCGAGGTAGGCGGTGGCTCCGCACGCGCAGACTATGGTTCACAACTAGATCAGTCGACTTGCTTTTCTTATCTATTCTTCACCTGACCTCACGAGCAATGTTAGGAAGACATATGTGATCAAAACCGTGTAATCGCTTCATGTTTTCTACTTTTAACGGCCATGTCTTACAGCCATACAAAAGAATAGTGAGGCTAGACAAAAATGAACTCATGCACAGAAATTCATTTACCCCACCTTTTCAACAGAGAAATAAAGGCGAAATGATAATACACATCTTACCTCTGCAGACTCAATATCCTTAGAATATTGTTTCGGAGGATAGCGCATTGCTTTCACAGCCTGATTATGTATGCTTAAGCAGAATTTGATGCGTTCATGGAATTGATTAAATGGCTCACGTGTTGAATACATATCTAATTTTTCATTTGTAGTTACATAACCTTTTTCATGATTAATTACAGCATCGATAACACCATCACGAATAGCCTATGGATTGAAAGAATAAAAATGATAAGAATGTCAATTTTAGGGTAACACAATGAAATTAATCACATAGATAAGGTCAAAAAAAGATAAGAAAAATAAGACGGGTAAGATCAACTACAAAATTCTTCGAATTGAACTGTCATTCAAAATAGCCACAACAAGTAATGATTACCACTCTTATCCCTGTGTCCCCCAGATTATGATTAGAATTAATGATTGACATTTTTACAACAATCACCTTCTCTAGGATAGGATTTTCAACAGAAATTGAAATCCATTCAGCACATTTGCGCCCATTCGTGCAGTAGGCAATAAGCTACACCTATTGTATGCCACAGTTAATGATGATACTATGCAGTTGCCTAAACCTCTACGGGTGGAGCTTTTTTAAGAAATAGGATTTTCATACGTCAGTTAAAATCATGAGGAACGACACTATGTGTTTGATCATCACTGTCTCTGTAAGATTACTCGTATCCGATGGCAACAGGATGTAAGTAATTTTGAGGTACGACAATCCGTGTTTCAACATTATGGGGATCGTCAACTCAATAAGTGAAGTCATCTGGAAACACTAGCTTCGGTAGCTTGGACACTTGTTACACATGTCGTCTCAACGGCTTCCATACAGTCCATTGTTTGATAATCCTGGAACTAGGTGGAAGAAGTGGAGAGGTGGTCAGTGTATTATATGGCGCTGTAGGATAAAGCATAGTTGTATCAGGGTAGCATCTGTTGGTGCATCACAACTCCCTGGGTGGGGTCTGAGAGATCGCACAACTCAGTGGCTTGTGACGTTATCAGATATGACTGGGAATGGAAACCAGTGACAGTCATGCTGTGATTTCCTTCTATCTTCTGGTGTTGACAAGTAATGAGTGTTTTGTTTTGAATGTATTTTACTGGACTGTCTTTCTAACCATTCTATTCATATTGTGTTTTTTCTGATTATGTTTTATCCACTTCTTTTCGCTTTACGTCTTCAAAATAGTGTTATATTATTTTGTGTGGCATATTTCTTGGTCCCCTAGCTGTACCATGTTTGTGTTCGAATAATAATGAAGCCTGAGGGATATTTGAAAAAATATAGTCATGGATCAAAAGACTGAAAATGTACCCCTGATGGGGCGTTTGTTACGTGAAAATTTCAAGTACTCGCCATAATATCTGTGCTGTTATTGATTTGTATTTGTGGTATGTTGTCCGTCGTATCACCGTAATTTCTCAATAGTTACAGAAAACACGGTCCCAATTATACCAGGTGTAACGGTTGGCTTATTTTTATGCCAACTAATACCTGGTGGTTTTATTGATAACTATCATTATATGAGTATATCTTGATAACAGGCATGTTAAAATAGCTAGAGTTCCATTCCACAGTTATATAATAGAATGAAATGCGTTCTCGTGAAGTTCACCATTAACAGTCTAAGGCAGAAAAATAAGAAATACGATAACAAACTTTCTTGAGTGGATGAAATGTGTTAGGGATGTCTAGTCCTTAAAAAACTAACTTATAATACGTTTATATTATCACTGCAAAATTTAAACCTTATTTTTGCTCCCCTTTTGCGCCACGCAATGTTATCCTTACCGCAGTTTAAAAAACTAAACGCTGATTGGTCTATTCTACCCTTTTAATATGCCATTTTGATTTCTCTGATCAAGGCTATCTAAGGATATATAAAAAACTGAGTTTTCAGCTAATATTATTCCGTTGGAGTAAATAGACGTTCAATTTCATTTTCTTCTGGTGTCAGCTGAATATCGAGTTGAGAAGTCATTGTTCTATCGTTAATCGTATCTTCTTGGAGCATTATATCGTTATCTATAGCGTGGATCATAATAAAATGCTAGCACTCGGTTACCACCAGTTTCCGCACTTGCATGGACAACATCACATTCTTCAATATGAAATTAAAATAAGCCCTTATTTATTAAGAGGTTCTGTAACATCGAACAAAAAGGAAGGTACGCTAACATTCCATCACATGTCTTAATTCAGATGACCATATCTCCTAGAAATAAAATGATGGATAACAATTAAAGGCAATAATGTTTACAAATCTTCCCAAACTCTGGTGTACCAGCCACCTTCGAGTAATGAAAATGAAATGTATTTACTGACTGGATAATTCGTATTTAATTTAGTATCAGGAACACTTTGGAGGCTTGTGGACAAAAGCATCCAAGTTCACCGGAGTCTGTATATGACTTCTGAAATGTTCTTTGAATATAGTCTTGAAACTTAGTAGTTTCTTGTAAGGATAGGTTAGAGGCCTGAAAAATCGTTCGTACTAACCTTAGCAACTATGTATTCTGCATCTTCAGTACTGTCTAGTTGAAGCTTTTTAGCGACATCCGCTAGTGAAATTCGGGAGTAACTTAAAGATATTCGTCGGACGCCCGTTTTGATTACATTATGACGTAGTCGAATAATCAAAGTATATGTGTGGTCAGCTGAGAATTGAGCACCATAAACTCGAAGAACATCGTTAAATCGAGATAAATCACCTGCATGAATAGCTTGAGTCAGCTGAAAATACGGATGCAGAGCTGCTTTAAATGACGTCTGACGAAATATGGAACGATCTGGTTGTTGACCTAGCAACAGTTCTACAACTGTATTTAATTTATGCAAAGCTTGTTTGAAACCGGTAGCTGTATGCTGAGGAGCTTTACGAAGGGCTGATACCAAGTAACCATGAGCTGCTGAATAATCTAATTGTATTGCCTTGATTCGACCTGGTAAAGGTAGGTAAAATTTAAAAAGTGGAATTTTTAGCAACAAGTATTCTGCTGTCGTTCACAAACTCAGAATAACCATTAAGTTAGAGAAACAGATAAACATGATTTTCTTTGAACTGTTTTTCGAAATACTTGAAAGAACTATGAGAAAAGTAATTATTCATATTTACCTTCGACAGCGAAAATATTTCATACACGCATACCCACGGACCAAAACGTTTTAGGGAACTGTTCTACATTCATTCGCCTTTCCTACCGTTTTTGTTAGTTAGTAGACAATAACAATTATCACAAGAGTTATAAAGGAAATGCTTTTTCTATCCCTTTTTCAATAGAATATGATGAAGACTATGCAAACTAGGTGGTAAACATCCCGGTCGTTTGCGTGACCGATAATTGTGAATGACTTAATTTGAATTACGTAAATTAGTGTGTAAATTATCATACTTACTACTCTACTCCAAAAACAGAGTAGAAAGAAAAAAATTGGGATGCATTCAGTAACAACATGCACATTCGGGCAGTAAACAATGAGAAACACCTATCGTGCCATGGCTAGTGATTGCATAAACATCGGTAGGTGGAGCGGTGTATTCGATGACTGAAAGTTGACTGCCTAGAACAATGAGCTACAGCTCCAAGACAGATTAAATGGAAATAGACACAGTATGACCAACTGTTTATTTTTATGTCATAATACCTATAGTGTAAACTTTTTCTAACACCAACTAGTTACAAACGTATAAAAAGTTTTTGAGCACTTAAATACTATTTGTTTTTATGCCTGTACACCCTGCCAACAAATGAAAGCAATAAAATAGATCTAACCAGACCGATAGCTGATGCCTAGACGTGAAGGTCGGGCTTGCATATCACAATGATCCAACGAGCTACGCTACTGAAAGGTTTGATCCCTCAAGGTCCTACCATACCAGAAAGGTCTGTTGGGTAGTGTGGTCAAACAAAAAGCAGTTAGCATTATAGTGTAAATTGCTACGCTGTGGTGGGGGTCAGAGGGTTAAGTCATACTGCTGATTGGATGGGGGGGGGTGACATCGGCAAGGTGTTCCCCTTGAATGACCAGCAGTACCACGCTAACGTTACTTATTATCTGACTCATATCAACGTCTAACACTACTGGATAGGTTAATAGAGGGGGATTGATGACTAATTAAGGTGGCAGAAGCAGCTTTTAATATTGTAAACAGAATATAGAAACATGTAAACTATGTTTTGTATCACATGGGGGGTTAAGGATGTGAAGAATATATATAGCTTTTGAATTCTGTATTCTACTAAGACTTATTGGAGTGAAAATGAAAATGATCAGAAAGAGTAATCCTCATAATAAACAGTAATAAATTAACTCACCTAAATAATACAGGTATCTAGCCCATTCATTATTTGGTGCACTTTCTGGGAAGACTACACGAGAGACAAGCTTATGTGCCTGTTCGTGTAATTGGTAATGCAAGTAGTTGCGCAACAATAAGTTGATAAGTACAGCTTGAGTATCGAAATTCTACATAAATTAAAGAAAAAAAACGTTGCAGCATATTATACGACTGCAGTAATCTATATAAATACACTTGAATGGCTATTACAGAATCTCGATGAATTAATATTAAAAACACAAGCTTGAACCAAAAATACCACTTAACAAGATTTCACGCAATTTTGTCAAGAGTATGCATAAAGAAGTAGTTTCAGAACAATTGTAATAAGAAATACCATAGCGTGAGGAATATTTTTGAGAATTGTAGACTTATAGTATGCAAGTTATACGAATCAGTCATTAGAAATCATTTATTACCATTAGGACACAAATATGGTACAGCTAGGGGACCAAGAAATATGCCACACAAAATAATATAACACTATTTTGAAGACGTAAAGCGAAAAGAAGTGGATAAAACATAATCAGAAAAAACACAATATGAATAGAATGGTTAGAAAGACAGTCCAGTAAAATACATTCAAAACAAAACACTCATTACTTGTCAACACCAGAAGATAGAAGGAAATCACAGCATGACTGTCACTGGTTTCCATTCCCAGTCATATCTGATAACGTCACAAGCCACTGAGTTGTGCGATCTCTCAGACCCCACCCAGGGAGTTGTGATGCACCAACAGATGCTACCCTGATACAACTATGCTTTATCCTACAGCGCCATATAATACACTGACCACCTCTCCACTTCTTCCACCTAGTTCCAGGATTATCAAACAATGGACTGTATGGAAGCCGTTGAGACGACATGTGTAACAAGTGTCCAAGCTACCGAAGCTAGTGTTTCCAGATGACTTCACTTATTGAGTTGACGATCCCCATAATGTTGAAACACGGATTGTCGTACCTCAAAATTACTTACATCCTGTTGCCATCGGATACGAGTAATCTTACAGAGACAGTGATGATCGAACACAGAGTCGTCGCACATCCTCAGTTTGGAGAGATCAGGTTTCACAAATGTAGAGCAGAACTGCTCGTACCGGAGATTTGTGGACCCGACCTTTTACAATCAGATTAACATCACAACGGAGCCAAAAGTGGCCTAGATTGGCGTATGTCACTCTGGCTTTCGATATGTGGTTAGAAATTTCATCACTCACGCAACTACCTAGGAAGACGAGGTTGTCGACTAGTTCCAACGACAGCCATAAGCTCCCGCCAACCTTGCAAAAGCAATTTTCACTTCGATAGGCCAAAGCGCATACTAAACTTACGGATGGTCGATGTCAAGCATTGCTATTCCACTGTCTATTCAGGACATAAAATTACTTGACACAATAAGACATTAATGAGTTCGTCAGAATAAATGAAACAGGAGAGCTATGAAAATGTAAAAGTAGGAAGACCATGTTTTTATATTCTTATTATTATAGAGAAAAGTCGTAATAAGAAGACAATCAACGTAGAATCCATTTCTGATTCTCTGGTTCGGGATTTCAGCACACCACTTATGTAAACAGCTATATAAAAGTATGGCAGAACTACCACTGATTTCAACTTTGAAATGCGTCTATTAATTGATTTCTTAAAACATGGTGTAATTGTGTATGGTCTTTGGGATCTATCTCTGCCTCGAAGTCAAAATCGACTGACAAATGCTAACTTGAAACCATTATCCACTTTTCGATGATGTCGTATCAGAAACCGACCACACGGTCGCAAAATTTGTAAATACTACTTGATACGGATGCTCTTAAGATGGCAGAAAGACAGATAAAATCAACATAGAACCTTCCACACAAGTCCATCGGCTCAACCTGCCACATTTTCACGGTAGCATTCAAAGAACATATTGATAGAAAAAGAGTGATATCAAAGTAGACAAAGGTGTGTGAAAAGAGAAAGAATTTGAAAAAACCAAGGTTAGTCGAAATGTACAAACTTCAGAAGACCTCAAAGAGTAAATACATTTGTGCCGTTGTGACCAATTTTCAACCTAAAGTTTGAAGTTAGTACTTATCAGAAACAGGCGATTGTCCGAACAAAATTGCAACAGACAATCACCTTTGTCGGTTCGCTAGCATGAGTTTCCGTAGATATCTCTCAGATGCCTTTTGGAGTGCCTCACTCTTCCTACTTATGAGAGCTAAAGTCACCTGTTATTACGTTAATATCTTAATATTTTGCTATATGTAGCAAAACTAACAGCTTCCCATGGAATTCATCCTATACATCATCCGAACTGCAGTCAGTAGGCATGTAGACGGAGATTATGAATAGATATCGGTAAGTCTCACGACCCTTCCTAGTTCTTAAGATGACGACAGACCAATGTAGATGATATTACAGAAGTGCATCGCTTTACGTTAGCACACTTCACACACAGTAGAGTGCAAATATAAGATGAATAGAGGAGGAATGACACTGAAGTAAATAAAAAGTAAGAGAAAAAAATAAATGAAGCTTAACAACACAGAATGAACTCGTCTAGATCATTGTTGAAGCACCAGACTAGCAGAACCACATTTTAACATGCTTTAACTAGACATTTTTGAAGATTGGTTGGTCGAATCGACATTTAATCAGTAAATTATAACAATGATACCAGAATTATTTATGGATATCAGCGCTTCGGATAAGCTGGGAAGATTTTTTTTTCGCTGCTTGATAAATTATGTTTCACTCTCAATGATACACATAGCCACAAGATTCTGTAGCTATTAGGTGAGAAAAGTGTGGTTTCTAGTATCAGAGACTGATGAACACTCTTATACTGGTTATACATCGTAATAAAGTGATGAGCATCAAGAAGTTACAAAGAATTTGAAGAAACCAATATTTATAAGTAAATGTTCTTCAAAGCCTTCATGAAGTTACCATCTCCATGAAATTTTGTAAACGTATCTAATACTCGTCCACGACTATCGATTTTTAAGTAGATGTGAATCTAGTTCCGTTTTGTATTCATTCACTTGAAAAATTATTAACCACTGGAAAATAAGATAATTTCGGTACACATTTAGGCATAATCAGCATCCAAAAACAAGCAACCAAATGGAAAACCTGTCCTGTACACAACAAAACCATAAGCAACTGACTGCATTTTGATGTAGTTTGAGTTCACGCTTGAGAAAAAAATGGTGCTCTGAAATCGACTGTCACAAATTGGTGTTCATCTTTGCAGACCATCAGAAGTGAACCCCCACTACTTGACCTTAGAAAAATTAGTCTTAATAAGCCATTCGTACTATTCTCCGCTTAACTAAAATATCAGATCTGAACACGCAAATACTTAGCTATAGTCCCCCTAAATCCATCTAATTGTGCTTGATTGAGGTCATCTAGTTGATGGTAGTATACGTCAACAGTAGCATCCAGGATGCGATGAGTCAGGAAGGAAGTAGAGGTACCGCTACTACCACTGTATGCATATCTTTTTACTGAATTTCACAACCTAATAGTCCAAAAGGGATTGTAAGTGGAGATGTAGTTTAGCGAAATTCCGACTCTAGCGCTCATAGTAACACTAACAGGGGTGAGATCCGTCGCCAGTGTTACTGGATTGTACATGAAATATACTTTTCGAGCTGAGATACGAAATATATCAGAAGTACCTCAAAGAAATTTGTATTCATATCAGGCTGACACAGCAAGCAGACAAAGTGGCATTTTAGTCATAGTCATGCTTAGTTATTGTCCAGCATACATCACTATGCAAAAGATAAAGTCAAAAAGACCTGAGGTGCTCCAAAATACCTGAGTTCAATCCAGTATAAACTGACTACTTAAGATAATTTATATGAGCTAAAAATATTTCAACAGTGAATTGTAGAATGTCATATAGAAAACAATACAAAATCGATAACATAGTAGGTAGAAATACAAGCTTATGTGTGAAGAAAACACAATGATAATATAGTCAGAATCAATGAAAATAAATCATCAACCATAGTTTTTATTTCTTTTCTCCTTTTTCGGATTAGTCGTGATTGTGTGAGAGCTGTGGTACGGCGTGTAAAGCTTAATTCGAGGTGGCCACTCCTGAACCCAGATCCCTGTATTATACATGCTTTGCCAACAGTAAATGGCAAACAGCAGAAAAGTACTTTTACATACTAATCTAAGAAGACTATACACAGAAGCCCTACACATGACATCGTACCAAAACGCAGATACATTTTAAAAAATAAAGGAGACATGTTTGGAAATGATACTGTGGATGACACAATTGACGCTGCTACATATTATCTTAAATTTTGTCAAGACATCTGCTGCCCAGTTGAAATAAATTTTCAAAAGTTTGATAGACTTTCTTCTCCATAACTAAAAATACTGCAAAGAGAAAAGAGAAACTGTACAAATAGAAAAATACTGGAATTAAACGACTTAACTGCCTGATTACGTCTAAAATTAGGCTTTAGATGCTGCAGTTGTTTCACACCAGACGATTGCCAGTTCGAATTAAGGTGCTAAGTATATTAGATTATACTTCTAACTTTGATTCTGTCCCTAGATTCCTTTTATTAAACAAGCTTGCCAGAACTCACATCGAGTCCTGAATTGCAAACTGGCCTCATCGCTGTTTTTCCGAGAGAAGACAGTATACTTTATACAGAAGGAAGCGCTCTACTTCGCTAATTAGTGAAGCCGATGTGACCCAAGGTGTACTTCTATTTCTTTTTCTTCTGCTTTTCTTTTCGTATGTCTTATCCATCTCAACTAAAGCTAATTGTTAAGTATGCAGGTGACTTAACAGTAGCCAGGGTGGTCGTCTACTCTTCAAATTGTTCTCAATTTAGTGATCTCCGGACCGAAAGCGGTCTCTGGTCTTCCTTGAATGTCTTCACACTCAATCCCCTCAAATGTCAGCTGAACAAGATTTACGTGAACTGCCTCAGTCTTATGATTCCTGTCTTATTGGTGGGTCTGTTGTAGAGAATGTATGAAGTGTGATCCATTTTGGCTTATACTTTCCTTCTGAAAATCCTTCGCTTGATCTTTAACATAAGGAAACTAAGACTGCCTGACATTACTCAGCCCCTACTCTCACATTTCATTAATTTTTGTCTTGCCTATACTCACTTATTTTTCCCCGTATTCTTTGCTGGACTTCGGAAAAAAGACTATGCTGTACTGGGTAGTATTTTAAAGGCTCCAAGTGGATTGTGGTTCACCACTACTTGTACTGGAAAATGTGTTTGTGGATGGGGACCAGAACTTTCGTAGACAGCTGCTTACAAATATTTTATTTGATGGCAAGAATCCTCTGAATCCACACTTCTCTTTATCTCTGTCCTCGGGTAACAGAAGAAGTAAATACGTTAGACTTCATGTACGCACAACCACATACAAAAATTTAACCATACCTTATTTGGCTTGTGTATTGTGTGAAAAACATCTAAGAAATAGTCTTCTTATTTAACTTTGTAACAGTGGATAGTTATCATGATGCTCAAGTCATTAGGCATTTCAACAATCCTGTTATTCTTTATTACATATTGTAAACCAGTACCACTCTAAATATGTATTTGAAAAATGTTGTACAACGAGCAAACTGATGCAATATCATATGCTGACAATTCTGTACCGTAAACAAAACTATCGTTCGGAATAATGCAAGTATGTCATTATTATATCGCTTTTAGAGGACTTCTCTCAGGCCTTCCACCTAAAGTCCAGTTCACACTGTAGTCTAGTAAAGTCATAAGTTGTATAATCATAACACTTGACATCCGGGACAGATAAATACATGATCCACTCCTTTAAAATCTTGAACCCTAGTGGCTAAATATCCAAGTTTCTAAACTCGACTAGGTGAACGTTAATTACCCAGTAACAATTTCTAGATATTCGTTTTCGTCCTTAAACTGTTTTCACCATCATCATCATCATTATCAACATAGGACCAGGCATTACTGCGTAACGGTCCGAGTTGCCACACCTCATATCAGCACATCAAGTAAAAAGGTAGTGAGGTGAAGGATGAAGATAAGTGAATGCAGTCAAAAGAAATATAAAGTACGAGAAGAAAGGAAAGAGGAGTGACAAAATAGTGAGATTCGGTATAGCGTTGTTAAGATGAGGATAATGTGTGTATACATCTGCGCCACTGACTTCGGTTCTGAGCCATATCACCTAGGGTCTCCAACCACTGGTTCCTCTTGTCCCGTGGACCCCAACCACCTAGTAGCCTGCATCGTCCTACATGGCTTAAACCAACAGTCAGAGACTTCATACATTGGTGCCATGTTTTAGTCTGGCCACCTCGGGCCTTTTTCCAGCCTGAACCCACCTCAGCCAACATTGTGTGACGAGGCAATCGGTGACTAGGCATACGTAGTACGTGTCCCAACCATCTCAGTCGATGAAGGTTCACAACCTCGTCGACTGACTTACCTCTTCTCCCTAAAACTCTACACCTAACTTCTGCATTACTCACATGGTGACACCACGGAATACGTCCTATACTACGAAGGCAACGGTGGTCAAACACCTGTAACCTTTTTAAGTCTTCCACTTTCAATGGCCATGTTTCACAGCCATACAGTAGAACAGAGCGGACTGCTGTGCAGTACACGCGACCCTTAATAGACAAACGAATATCACGGCGGCGCCATAGGTGGCGCAAATTGGCAAAAGCCAATCGAGCCTTTTGTATCCGTGCAGAAATCTCATCGGCAACTAACCCACCAGGGTTGATCCTACTTCCCAGGTAAGTGAAGTGGTCAACACACTCAACCACTTCACTCTCTATTGTTAACCGCGGTACCGCTGAAGACCAGTCCTGGAGCAAAAATTTGCATTTGGGTGGTGAAAATCGCATCCCAAACATTCTCAAATTCCCACTCAAAGTGTTCAGAAGACTCTGCATCTTGTCAGCGTCTTCACCTAACAGGACTATGTCATCTGCATATTCTAGATCTAAGGAAAATTCACCTGTGATCGGGTCAACGTCTTTGTAATTAGGTGACGAGAGGGAAACCTCCATAAGAATATCTATGATAAAATTAAATAAGAATGGGGATAGTGGGCATCCTTGACGGACACCACTTGATGAGTATAGCTCCCTGGACAACTCACCATAGGCTCTAACATGCCCACAAGTGTTCGAGTAGAGAGCTTTCAATAAGGTGATGTACTTACTAGGCACGCCTTTCAGTGACAGACACTGCCATAAGACTTCTCGATCAACGGAGTCAAATGCCGCCTTCAGGTCGAGAAATACAGCTATTGTCGGGCGTCTGTAAGCATGCCTATGTTCCAGGACCTGGCGCAGTGTGAATATTTGGTCGATACATCCACGGCCAGGTCTAAAGCCTGCCTGGTTTTCTCGGGCTTGCTGTTCCCGAGCTCCACTCAGGCGTCGGAGAATTATAGAACTTAGGATCTTAGACACTATGTTTGTCAGGCTGATTCCTCTGTGGTTATCACAAGAGGACTTCTCGCCTTTCTTGAAGACTGGGATGATGAGTGACTTAGACCAGTCGGAGGGGATCGTATTTGATTCCCATATACTGGCTAACACTTCCGTTAGCCTGACTAAGAGAACTCTACCACCATTCTTGTATACCTCAGCAGGTAGTCCGTCTGGTCCTGCTGCCCTTCCCGTTTCAGGCTACCTACCGCTTTCTCAACTTCTTCTAGTGTTGGGGGACCTGTCTCTATGTCCCATTCAGGGTCCGACTGGATAGCGGGCAGCGCAATGGTGGCTGGAGGCCAGTTAAACTGTTCCTCAAAGTGTTCTGCCCATCGTCCCAGTCGCCTTCCCTGCGAGTGAATCGCATCCGTCCTTCTCCGCTATAACCTCACTAACTGTTGTTGACCATTTCCCCCCAGTCTCCTTAATAAGTCTAAATAACTGTCTACTGTTACCGATCGCCGCTGCCTTTTCCATCTCTTTAGCCTTTGCTGCCCACCACTGTTCACGATCGTTGCGCAGACTTTTCGTCAGTTTATTTTTAAGTTGCGCTCGCTCTTCATTGTACTCAGAGCCTGCAGGGATGCATTCACGTGCATCCATTAGTTTGGAAGAAGCTGCTGATATCCACTGGCTCTTTTTAGCCATTATCTTGGAGTCGGCTACAGTCTCCAGTGCTGCTTTTACAGTAGACTGAAGATGGCACCAAGCTTCTTCTGGATGAGTGACAGTCTTTTGTTCCGATAACTGCCTAGCCAACTTCTCACTGAACACGGCTTTGGTGTTTTCGTTGTCCAGCAGAACTCGTAGTGGTTTTGTTGCCAAATTTTTTCTACGTCCATTGAGACGCAGGCATATACGTGCTCGGACCAACGCATGATCGCTGTCCAAACACGTACTCCAGAAGGAGCGGCAGTCTTCCACCGATCCTCTCCAGCGATGACTAATAGCAATGTGGTCTATCTGTGTCCATCGCTGAGTCGAGCTCGGTGGACGCCAGGTCAGACAGTGCCTTTCTTTATGTCTGAAATTTGTGCTGGCTAAAAATAGGCGGTTATCTGAGCATAGTTGTAATAGGCGATCACCGTTATCTGTACGTTCAGCTGGGATTCCGAAAGTGCCACCTAAGTGCCTTTCTGCCTCACTCAGTCTACCCACCTGTGCGTTGAGGTCACCTGCAACAACCACTACGTCCGAACGTTTGGCTTTCGAGAGGAGGTTAGACAGTTTATGGTAGAACTCGTCCTTCACTTCATCCGAACTACAGTCAGTGGGTGCGTAAGCAGAGATTACAAAGAGACAACGGCGAGTCTCACTATTCCTTTTAGTTCTCACTGTGCCGTTCAGCCTCATAGCGCAGAGGCGACTATCAACTGGGATCCAGTCTAGTAGTGAGTTTTCTGCCCTGGTGCTTAATGCTATACCTACACCTGCAAGACCACGAGAGCTAGCTATCGAATCTCCAGAAATTCACGCTTCAAGTTTCTGGAGATTCGATAGCTAGCTCTCATGGTCTTGCAGGTGTAGGTATAGCATTAAGCACTAGGGCAGAAAACTCTCTACTAGACTGGATCTCAGTTGATAGTCGCCTCTGCGCTATGAGGCTGAACGGCACAGTAAGAACTAAAAGGAATACTGAGACTCGCCGTTCCATTAGAATAGAATAACACTAGACATTGAGTAATTTAACGAATACACAGCTACTTTGAGCATCTAATCATATAAATGACGGCTTTAATGGAACATTTAGAACTATTAGTAAACACAAATAATCAAGAAATGTGGGAAGTACGAACAGATCTGCAGCTCAGTTGCTCGGGCACTCGACTTCTAACCGATTCACTAATGGTCCGAACTCTGCTTCACCTACCGGGGTTTGGGAAACCAAGTGGTGTCATTAGGCCTTACATAATACATTTGCCTGATAACTGAATGTTTGAAAATGCAAGTGATTAATGTGTTGGATTACGATTGAATAACAGTTCACCATATGTGTAAAAGGAAAGATGACTAGCACAATTAGGACTAATTTTGAATTAAACTGCATAAAGTCTCCATCTACAGATTTCGGTGGTTTCGTGGACCCAAATCTATTTTAAATCCCGTAAATACTATACTTACAAGAAAAAACATGGTCAGCTAGTGAAACCTACTCAACCATGCAACCATCAACAAACTAGCGACTTTGGCAGTAATTAGAATGACCTGGTCCTGCTCTTGACATTTTTGTTGCGTCACTTAGTGACTGAACTGTATCCATTTCAAACCCAAGAAAGATATGCAAATCGTAAACAGCACATAATTCCCAAGTAAATTTTATAAGGTAATGCTAAAAGTTCGCAAATCACTTACCGATCTGAGGGTAGCAGTCGATAGACGAGCATGAAAAAAGGAGCGTACAGCTTCCAGGCGCCCAACAAGTTCATAACTACGACTGTGGTAGTAATAACACCGACTGGCAAGTAGTGCCATAGAACGCCGGTTAGTAGCAGTTAGGCGGTCCATTAGCAGGTTGGAACATTTACAAGCCTAGTGAAAAGACATTTCATAGGTATAAAAACCGATTAGCAAGGTTATTAATGTGTAAATTCAACTAGATAATCATACGGTAAGTCATATACTTCACATTATGACTGAACATATTAGTTATCAATTGCCTGAAACAAAGTAGGTTGAAAATGGTTTTAAACTGTAATGATACGGTTAAATACATTTTAGTTTTTATTTACCAACAATCACGCAAAAACAAACAGTATATTAAGCTTTTACACACTGATCGCACATGTGAATACTAATATGCACATGGATAAGTGGAAAACATGGACGTTAGTATAATTCATTAGATGATTACTGATAATGAATAGATGCAACTTCCCTAAAAATGAGTAATAGTTGCTAATATCGTTGATTATAAGAAAAAGGGTTATTATTAACTTGTTCACTCACATATCTCCAAACAACTAAAACCAACAGTGATACCTTCATTGGTATAACATTCAGTTAATGGCACAGAATGCACCTTCAGTAACTCAATACAAACATTAGTTAATCATCAAAACACTGTAAAGCGTAAACACTACGTAATCCTTTTATGTCACTACGTTTTTGAGAATGAAACCGAAAAATCAAGTCTTTCAACTACTTCCTAACCACTAATAAACACCTCACAGTTTCACAAGTATTGTGAGGATAGGTCAATATTATCCCGTGAAAATTTCTCTTGCTTCGATGAATGATGTCTCAGAAACGCGTGCAGTATCCTAGTTTGGTAAGCCTCTACAGCTACTCTTGAGAATATTTAACTCCTCATTCTTTATCGTGCGTACCCACTCTCAGTGGTCATCATATAGGGGACGCATTACTCAACTACATGAAGTTGCAGAGCACTACAGTAATAGCAAAGCAGTAGGTATATTTAGATTTATGCACCACAATACTGACAATCCATGACAGTTAATTATACCAACTGACTTGTTAAACCTCAGCATATGGGGTAGGGTTCGAACGAACTTATTGAAAAAAACCAAAATCTACTCAGCAACCGCTTCACTGTACGTGCAGTAGGCAAAAACCAGCCATACCTAATGCGTGACGGCTAATAATACTTGACTGTTCAGACCGCAATAAATGAAGTGGGGCTTAAACCCGTGATCCATCGGTTGCAAGTCCAGTGCCTAGACCAACGAGCCATAGCTCACAATAACCTGTCATTTGAGCCGAATTCCTAAACTGGTTAACTACAAATCTACAGACTGAGCGAAATATTAGAAGTTATCGATATGAATCCAACCATTATTCATTGTATTTCACATTCAACTGTCGCGATAAACGGGTTGCATTTGCTATTATATTAAAGCTAATTACATAATGCAACTCAAATCTAAATAGTTTCATGCAGTAGGCTATGAAGCATACTCATTGTATGAAGCCTTACGACATTAACCTTAGCACTTATGTGATTCAGTTAATCAGGCAACTACATTTACCTTCAACGACCAAACTCAAAAGATATCTACTAAGTCCTAAATTATCAATACATTACCTGCTGCATATTTTATGTTTGGTTCAGCATACCAACGGTGCCGTAAAAGTAAGTTGGTAGACAGGTTTTCTAGAGCTAGTGTAAATACTTAACAAGTGGTTAAAGTGATTAACCAGTCCACTTACAGTTAGATTATATAACGATGAAGATATCCTTCATCATCCCGTAGATGCCGAAAATACAACAATGTTTCAGGAAAAGAGAAGTAAAATTTGAAAGAATTCTTGCTTCTACCTTACTCGAATTTTTTGAAAGGAACTAAATGCATATTACAGCTTTCAGTTCTTAGGTTACAATAATCAGACGATCCCTTTTATTTTCATTGTCAACAGGACCCCATCCTAATTTGGACACAGAAAAGACGAGTTATTATGATGGGCCAGAAAATTCCAAGTTCAGATGAACGAAGTAAAAAAGTTAGAGTCAAAAGAAAACTCTCTACAGACTCTTGATCAGAGACGGAAGACTTTCAAATCTTTTAAATACTTTATGGAATCTTCCCACAATTTAACATGCTTGCAGGATATCCTAGATGAAGCTGTGCTTCAAGTAGAATATAAAACTGTCATCAGTAGCTTTGCACCAAAATCCAGAGGAGAATCCCATGGCTGCTAAATTTTGTTTTGACAACCTTACCATATCTAAGACGATTACTCTCAATACATAATAGGACATTGGAAAATTTCCACAACAATTTCAGAAAATCCGGCTTTTAAATGAATCACTGACATGTCTTAAAACCAAAGACAGGAAACAGTACCAGGAAATTGCACCTGGTGTTAACGAAAAGCAGACAAACTATATAATGCATACGTGAAGAGTCAAAAGGAAGAGAATCAACCTACAAAATTTGGAGACAGTAATAGTTTCTGATCCTGCATATTAACACTATGTGGCAAACAGTTCCTGATATTCACCTTCTTCAAGTAGTAGCACATTCAACGTAGCGAGATACTAAGAAACTGGGTGCAGGTGACGCCTACCTTTCTAGAAACCCAGTTTGTGCCTGAGTCCTGCTTCTTGCTCACGCATTCGAGGGAATCTTAGCGACTATCATGTCTCATGAGACGGCCCTGTAAGTACTTAGAAGACCATAGATTTCATTGCGCCACATGCTTAAAAAGATGAATTCTGGACTACACACTTTACTTGCAGATGTGACTCATTGATATAGGCCCTCAAATTTTAATTACTGGGTCACGGGTTTGAGTGCCTCTCCACTAATCAAGGTTTGGATATCCAGGCAGTAACATTAGCCCTCATACACAGGTGTGATTCACTAGGTTGTCAATAAACCTGCACATGGAAGTTTAGCTTTTTCACTTGACAAACATTTTTACAGTTTTCAACAATAGCCACTCAAATTGAAACAGAAAAACCCAGATGGGCCCCATACAGTTATCATACAGTAACGCCCTAAATAATTAAAGTAACCTAACTACCAACCCAAAAGTGCACTAGACCAAATTATACCTGGGACAAGTACATGAAACTGCGAGGAAAAAGATTTTTTAAATGTTCATTATACTTTTATCATCAAATACAGGCATAGACAGATGTGACAAGGAACAACTTTAAATGACTAGTAAACACGACAGGTCAACTACTATCTTCCAGTAAATATGTTTCTTATGAGTCTGAGCTGTGGATTTTCAACCAGTAAGTCATAGTACCAAACCGTACCGCATCTACCGAGGTTCTATCAGTCAGGTAGCACTACTAGCTCTTACACAATAGGTGTCTGACTGTGCGAGCCTGCTGAGTTAGGCTTCCGGAAAATCTAAAATGGTGTAAAGCAAAGAAACTATCCATGGTACAACGACATGTACTGTGACGTGAGTTTTTAGTCTGTTTTATTGATTGGCTTACTACAACGAGTGGAGCTGAGGCTCACTGGTCTAGGCAGTTGACCCCTAACCAATGGGCCACGGGTTCAATCACCGCCCCACCAGTTGAGGTTTGGGAAGTTGGGTAGTACTACTAGCCATCACACAAGAGGTGTGTTATTGCCTACAGCATGAATGTGCACAAACCCACTGAAAGCATTTTGATTTTTAATTAGTGTAACGAAGATGTGACGTGTAATCACCATTAAGTGTGTAGTGAATGTGAGAAAGTAGTGTAATGGATAATGAATGTAGTCTCAAGCGAACCTCATTGACCACAAATTCTAGGGTGAACTATGAGGGTGTCACAACTTAGAGCCACTATGCAGTTTGAATTATTCGACAACTCTATGAACAAGTCGGTAGAAATACATGAGTTCAAGCTGAGAACAAGCTCATATAACTGGATCAAATTCCTAAAATTATCAAAAAGACAAACAAAAGGGACTATGCTATGCTTAGGTAGGCAATTTATGATACTAAAAGAGGTAAAGTTAATATACCTCTTCTAAATGGTTTTCATCGATCAAAAATATCATCAACAAGAGATGCAGATAAACTTCGACTTCAGGAAGCAACGGCGTATTCAACTTGCCAGTTCGAGGACGAAATGGTGACATCGGGCAATCAGTGTCCATAGCCTAAAAGATATTATCACACACACAAGACCTTACCTCGGGTAAAAGCTCCAAAAAATAGGTCTTCTGTGGGGAAGGGTTTGGGAAATAACCTTGTACTAAACCCCTCAGCACATTACAATTAAGTCGGCGTCTGATACTTGACAGACCACGTACAACTCGTGTCATAAAATATAACTCTTTGGTTATAACAGCTTTTTCGATATATCGAATCTGGTCACGAATATCTTCCAGGACTAACTCATCTACATCCTTCAGACCTTCACCAGATGATCCATCTGCTAATTTGTCTGAGGCTGCCACAGGCCCCATATCATTCTCAGGAAGTTGCTGTGTACCACTTTTCATGTCACTCAGGATGCTAAGTCAGTTGTAGCGTATTCTTTCCTTTACCCACATAGAGTACATACCATATTCAATATCTTTTTACGAGCTGATATTCATCAACTGATTTTTCTCGCTCACTTCGAGATGTCGCGGAACTGTTCCGGATCTTTTATGACTTTCAGTGCAGTAGGTCTACCCACTCACCTGCCGTAGCCCAGGTAAACCCTACGGGCTGTTGGGTGTACTAACGTCCAGCATCAGTAGTGAGTGGATGGGAAAATGATAGTTTTTGATCCCTTGAGTCTGCTTCTTGGGGCTTCACCCATATTATTCGCTCCCTTCTCAGTAGGGAAAAAAATCCCTTCTACTTTCTTGCTTTTAGTGCCGACGAGATGAATGATTTTGTGGGTTGGTAATTATAGTTTGTAGATTGGGTGGTTAGGGAGCTACGGGTTGCTGGGATGATCAGGAGTTTTTCGTTTTTCTTGTCTGAATAGGTGGCTGGACAGGAACAGCAAGATAGTAAAGAAAGGTGGGTAGGAATCATCCGAAAAGTAAAAGTGTGTAGTATTAGTCCAGTCACTAGATAAAAGTTAGTAGACAATGTAGGTGTGTCAGTCATCGATGGAGTGGCCGATAAGGAGGGAAAAATGCTGGGCTAGTTAGGTCATTATTGCCCTGATCATATCCGTTGTAAACCAAGCGAAATGAATGATTATATAACCGTCTTTGAATGAGTCTACTGAGTGGGGTGTAACTAAGTCCTTGGCAGGGATTCCATAAAGAACATACTTTTAAGGATAAAAAGTTAGACATGGCCCTGGTGGTGGCCCTCTGATGTGCTATCCTGGTGAGGTTCCTTTGTGATGACTACCATGTTGCGGGCAGGGTCAGCTAGTTTGTCTAACTTGCCCGGTGGATCATCTTTTAGGCCATAATGAGTTCACCTCCCGTTCCGTGGTTGCCCAGAGTCGATAGGTTTCGTTACCTCAGTCTTTCGGAACAAGCCCCTACTCCTTAGCCCGCAACGGATTTTGCTGCTGATTTTTGCATTTTATCATGAAGATCACAGTCTCCTCCAACTGTTCACGGTGCTACAGTATTGAAGATCCACCGGTGCGACAGCACTTAGGATTTAAAAACTCTGAGAAGCAATCGAGGGGTGAGAGCAAGAAGTTGTCCTCGCAGAAAGCGTAGAGTGGCGTTCGCTGTGGCTGCCAGTTTTTTTTAGCCAGAGCTGATGTTCAGGGTGTCCTTGTTTCCATGGGTACTTTGGTGATAGCTCGGTCGCTCAGCTTGCACTGGAATTTGGCCGTTCTTGCCTCATGAGCACTGCTGTGGACTATCTTGCACCTTTTCGGGTTGACGCTCAAACCGTTTTCCAATGGTCAGAGTTCAGTAGCTTCGGGTAACCATAGAGTGCTGTACAGTCGGCTTCATTAATTATTGCCCTCCAAATTGTAATGTCATCGGAGGAGAGGATGGGCGAGGAAATTATCCGTGGCCGACCGCTAATGAACATGAGGAATAAAATTGGTCCCAGTATTGCTCCTATGGATACTCCTGATGTTAACGGTCTCCACTCCGAATGTATTCTGTTTGTTTTGATGCAGGATCGTCTGCCTTCTAGGTAAGCTTCGACCGAAGAAACAGAAGTTCGCTTACGCCGTCTCACGCTATCTCGTGAAGAAGGATTGGGGTGGAATACAGGCCTAGGAAAATAATACGCACTGGTTTATTGCTGTCTCAGCTAAAAGTGCAGTTGCTGCAGGCAACCACTAAGTTTTTGGTACTTGAACGACCACTCCGAAAGCTATACTGAGCAGTGTGGATGGTATTTTTCCTGTTTGAAAATTTCCAGACCTCATCAGCCATCAGGCCTTCCCATGCTTTTGGCAGCACGGAGAGTAGGGCAGTTGGTCTGTGCTGCCACATCTCTTGCCTCCTTCCTTGAAGATGAGTGACGAGGTCTTGCAACCCTATTCTTTAGGGAGTCTGTATGACCCGAGCTATTTCGTGAGGAGGTTTCAAATCGATTTTGTTAGTGCATCGGCGCAGTTCTGTAGGACTACCGGTCTCGGGTCGTCATAACCAGGGGACTTACCTGGTCTTAGCCCTGACAGTATTTCCGATACCTTTTCCCTTGTAGTGCGGATGTGGCAGATGCATTCGTTAGTTACGGTTCAATCACTGTCGTATCACACTAGTGCAGATTTAGTGTCAGTACTAAATTACGCCGCAAAGCGTGAGCTTCCAGGCTTGTTTACCTCTGGTCTGCTTAGTACATCCCCATTGGGAGGTGTAATAAAATAAGCCCATTTGCCGGTCAACTTCCCCTTGGACATGAGACGGTACAGGTTTTGGGGTTACTATGTGACTTTCCCATCAGGTTTGTTTGATAGCTAAACCCGTTGCTGCGGTAGGTGCGGATTCTTTCACATTTAAAATTGTATGGCTAGCAATCTGGGAATGGGGCTGGGTGTCAGTTGTGTTGGCCTTAATAGTGTGCCAACTCAACCTGTATATCGTCGACACCAACTTTGGTTGAAAGCCATCACCACCGCTGGACGCCATGGAGGTACCGATCCTTACAATTTCTGAGACCCCATGGGCAACCATAATGATATTTCCGTCTTGATTTCCAACTGTGGATTTGTTCCTCTCCTGTCTCGATGACCACGGTCGCCAGGCCTGGCCTAAATTTCGCAGGTGGCAGTAATGTCCGGTTCACGGAAAGAGAAGGGGTATCTTCGGCTTTTTATGGTGGTCAAAGATACTCATAAGGGTGGTGATTTGTCGCGAGGTGCCGGCTACTTAGAGAAAGGCGGAACAGTACCGTGGGCAGAGTGTGGAGTTGCAGTTTCCGATAGCCATCGGCCCATGTTTAACTCCTAAACTGTTCTCTTGACCACCAAAGATTCTGTTGATTCATCGCTGTTGAACAAGATGACTGAGCAGGTAGTTCCACCAATTGCGTCCGCCACAGGTGATATGCCTATCTTCCCCGTTGGTTCGCTGTTTATCTTTTCCGGCCGCTTCTCGGTAGTAGTGTTTGAGGCGTTAGGGCCGGGTTTTAGCCGGAGTCCGGTGAACGGCATCTCCTTCCATGTGCTTGACAATCTCTGTAATCTGGTAGGAGATAGATAGGTTGGACCTGAGACGGTCTTCGTGCACAGTGGTGCATACGTAGCCACAAACATCACTTAGTTTACGGGTCCCTTCGTGTTACCCTTTGGCTTTGACCCAAAGTTTCTACAGGAGGTTGACGGTCTTCTGTGGTGAATAGTAGCTATTTAAGGCCCTTCGTATGAAGCATGGGGAGCTTTCTGCATTCTGGACAGGTGTACCATTACCGTTTGTGTGGTTGTCTCCTCATGAACTGCACTGTTGGGTTAGCTCACTATCACAGTGAAAATGTATCTGTCGGTGACGTGGGATGCCTCTTCCGAGGCTGATAAGACTTCGACGTAATACTGCCGCCATCAGATATTATAATGTAACGTAGGCGTAGCCTGATTTCTGCTAGGGGTGGAACTACGTGGTGATTTGGTGGGACTACTTTGCGTCATCGCTGGCATCCTAGAAACGGAGGATAACCGCTTCTTAAGGAGATATGCACTTTTCACTGCCTCTAATCTGCTGTGGATGCAGTTTAAGGTGTTGTTTCGAGGGCCATGTAGTTTCAGTCTGAATCTACTAAAAGGTTAACGTAGCCGTTTTTCTTACTCTTTCCGAAGAATGATGAAGTAGAAGTATTCTAGGCCTTTCCGTAGGCATTCCGCAAAGTTAGACTGTTGCGTAAGCCTATTTTGGCAGACCTTAGTAGTAAATGCCTTGCAGATACTCATGCACATGGAGAAACTCAACTGATCATGGATTGAGCCTTAAGTAAACCTGGCGTTTTTCCTTCTCTGAGTCAACGTTTCTGTTGCTCGTCTCACTTACTATGGCCCTGACAACAGTCGCTGATTTGTGTGGGGCACTGCATCTGGAATAGCCCTTCAGATTATTTTCTTCCCCTCATTCTCATGTTCAGACACGGTAGGGCATATCCAGTCCTCAGGTCAGCGTGCACTTAAGAATATTCCTTCACAACTCGGCAGTTCACCCTGCTTTGGCGTAAGAAATTTCCCGCCATTTCTACTGACAGGAATTCTTTGCTGAACGAGGGGAGATTTACTGCCGCCCGGTCGATGTGACTTGTCAGCGGTTGAATGCGGGGATTTCAGATCAAGGAAGCATTGTTTGCCACTGGGTTTCACCGGGTTCGTGTATCATTCACAGGGGAAAAAGAAGACAAGAGAGCAGCGGGAGGAAAACATGACAACTAATAAGAGCTAGCCACTAAAGGCCCTATCCTTTGAAGCTCAAGCAAGTTTACTGGGATCTTTTAATGACCAGGGTAACAATTCTCCATTCATGTCGTAGTGGACCGTGTGTATTACAGTTACGCAGCACCCAGCCAACCCTGCTTAACTTGGTAGGCTCTAGCACCCGTTTATTCAGTACTTTAACGTGTAAGCAATGATAACGGTACATTAGTTTAAAAAACTGAGTTATTTAGGAATATATTCAAAAGAGCGGTTCAGTTAAAGAGAATAAAGATGAAGGTAACTTGCAGGAAGCGCTTGTCCAACTCATGCTCAATATTGGTGGGCTAGGGACCCTCAGGATGAGCGTTTTAGTGAGCACGAAAGGAGCGCAAGATGTCGTCGAAGCCTACTCCGATGCATACTCGTTGAGGTAAAACTCAAAACACCTGGTGCATCTGGAGGCAAACTGGAGGTCTACCTATTTAGTTCAGTGTGGTCCACCGAATTCGGCTCTGATTGCACTATGACGCCAGAAAGGTGCACCACAATGCCATGCCGCTATTATGCAAATGGTGTTGATTAAGTTGAGTCTTTTTAAGTTGGTGCTCAGTTAAGACAGACTGGCGATGGCAAGGTAGGAATGGAATGTGCGGGTGGCACGGAGATGTGAGAGCACGGGTAACACGGGAGAGAAGGAGAGCAGTGACGAGGAGTGCTTTGCTGGTGGATCAGATACAAGAGGTAGATAATGAAACAAGGATCCA